GTTTAAATTTAAGTTTTTTTAACAATATATAATGATTTACAGGGTCCAAAGTTTTTTTTTAAATCTAAAAATATACCAACAACGTGTTTTTGTAGATCGAAATTGTACTAAATAAATTTATTAAAACGCCATATATAGATCTAACAATATATTATGTATTATTACAATAAAGTAAAAACATTTCTTAAATGTCTTTTACAAAGTACGAGCATAGTAAAATTAAAAAAGTATCTATTTTAATACACATTTAAATTATCTATTATGGGCAACACAGATTATATTTTATGACTCATATATATTATATCATAAAATATGCATGCTCAATACAATTTAATGTAACAAATTTGAATTAAAATTTAATTCTTCAAATAGCTAATTCATTCTAAGTTTCAGAAATATTAAAATGAAGGTGATTAATATTTAAAGGATGTGGATGTAAATTTGATTAGTTTGTCACACTATAATATTTGTGACTTTTAAATTGACAATAGCATAAACTATTATTTAATATTTAGATTAAAATTATAATATTAATCTAAACAAAGTAGTTTAATTTTCATTGATGTTATGAGAAAATAAAAAAATTGATTATGAAAGGGGTTAAACTGTTGCATTTTCACAACATATTACTATAAGATGTAAGTACTATTGTACTAGATTAAAGTTTACTTTAATAATATTTTAAAAATATAGACTCATTAAACATTAGTGAGTTAACTTGAATTATTAATTATAACTCTGAAAGACAGCTTGAACTAAATGTTTAAAAATACTTAATGAGATTATTTCACCATTTTGAACTACAGTTTTTAATATGTTAACATATGCTAATACAATTTTAGTTATCCACTAATATTGAAGAATGCATCAAATTGGGCATCATTGTATTGGTGCAATTTATCTATTATGTCTGTGGCCCACTTATTAGAGAATTTTGAAATACATTTCTTTTGGTGTTTTATCCTTGAATCCATCAAATGTTTATGTTGACAATCAGTTATTTTCATGTGTAACTGCATTTGTGTTTAATTTGCCTCTGTCATGTAAAAAAAAAAAATTGCAAATCGTACTGTTGACTATAGTATATTAGAGTTAATTATTTTTTTGTTTTGAATATTATCATAACTGCTAAAAATATACAACAGTGTAACAGAGTAACACAATATAAAGAATAAAATTGAATTCGAAAGTATGAATGCTGAATATTATAAGAAGCTCCATGGAAAAATTAGTACTTAATTTTTGGTATTTTTTTATAGTAATAGACTATTCAAAGTCAATAATATTATATGTTACATATGTAAATTAATCACTCTATTTGTGATGCTTTATTTTTATTTTTTTTTTTTTTTTTAATTACTGTCAGAAAAATAGTTGTTTTTTGTAATTTCTATGTTGAGAATTTGATAATTAAATCTAGTAAGACAACAAATATAAAATATCTTTTATTACAAATATACTGATATATAAATATATACATGTTTATATTATTAATGTTTTTGTAAAACTTTCATCTTACCATAAAGGAGTAAACTAACAAGTCTCGTACCAGTTAAAATAAATAAATATTAATAAAATGCACTTTAGTTTTAAGAATACAAAATATTTGACAGTTATTAATTTTCTTATCCAATATATATTTTTATGTTAACTAAACGATCATATATGGTTTAATAACCAAAATAACTAAAATGGTCCAAATCCTATTTTTATTTTACTAAATTTAAAGATAATTCATTTCATTCTGATATTTAAAAAAATACTCACAGACAAGTTAATTTCAATCGTTGATTTGGATGCTTCAACTATGGTAATTTTAGGTTCTGTGATTGTCAACACAATGTCTAAGTCTTACAGCAATAATTTAATTAGTCAATAAATCAATCAAATACACATTTTCGTTATGAAACAAACTCGTTGCCTACTTTAAAGCGTAGTTCATTCAGAAGTAAATATGACAGATTTGCAACATGCAACATTTTTTATAATTTTTTATAATTACCTTTGTAAAAATAATAAAAATTGTGATCGATCTTCAATATCTCTGGTAGATTATTATAAATATTTAAAAAATTCTATAACTTTTTGGGAAAAGTGTAATAATTTAGGAATCCTTCAAGATTTTCAANGAATTATTAGACCACAGATTTAAAAAAGAATTTTATGAATTAGATTATTTATTGCTGCAATACTTCGACATTTTTAGCTTTTAAAAATAAAATCAGTTTTAAATTAATATTTCATTATTTTTTATTATTTGTTTTGTTAAATTATCAAGCTATATAGCATATTGAAGATGAAATTGTACAAACGCACAATATACAGATTTTTTAAAACTACAATCTATTACAACATTAAGTGCGGACAATTTTAATTTTAGAAATAATTTGTTTAATTTGTATACTCCAACCAAGTTTCCGATCAATTATTCATCCTAGATATTTATAATAATCTACCAGAGATATTGAGAAACGATCACAATTTTTATTACTTTTACATAGATAATTATGAATTATTAACTTTTTTTTTTTCGACTTTTGTGGAAAAATCTATATTTATATGGAAATATTTAGAGATAATTTATTTTCTGTAACCAATTCCTAACTTTAAAAAGATCATTATTAGCTTTTTCATACAATTCTTCTGAACTACATCAGTCTACTATTACAGCTGTATCGTCTGCACATAGCACCAAATTTCTTCTTATTTTAATGTTTGTAAAACTATTGATATAAATAATAATGGACCGAGACATGTTTCTTGTGGAACACCACAATTCATTTTTTTTTTTTCAGATTTTGTTACACCAATTTTTGTACAGCATGTTCGGTTTTTTAAATATGTTTTAAACATATCTTGTACGATTCCTCTTATACCTGTGTTTTCTAATTTTGATAATAAAATATCATGATCAAAAACTTTTTTCAAATCCAAGAAAACAACAAGTGTATATTTTTTATCAGTTTTAATATGAGACATTAATTTAGATATTGGGTCTTCTATACTTCTCCTCTCTCGAAACCCAAACTGTGAATTAGACAGTATATTATTTTTATTTAAAAGATTAATAACTCGTGTTTAAATACATTTTTCAACAATTTTAGCAATAGTAGATATTAAAGAAATCGGTCGATAATTATTCGGATTAAATTCACTTCCACTATTTTTATATATAAGTACAATATCAGCATGCTTAAACTCATTCGGAATAAGCAACTAACAGCAACTAACTTTTTAACAGTTTTTTGAAATTCTACAGTGATTTTATCAGAACCAGGAGCAATATTATTTTTTAACAAATCAATTTTAAGAATTATTTCATCTGATGTAACAGGTTCGAGATGAATAGACGAGTTAATATGAGAATTTTTATTTTCTCTTTCAAATTGTAAATTAGGTATTGTAGACGCAAGATTTTTTCCTATATTTACAAAATGTTCATTAAGTAAATTACAATCAATTCCAGTAGGAATTTTTCTCTTATTCATTGTCAGCACGTTCCACAATTTGCATAGTAGTATGTTGTTGAAAATTACCATGTACAGGAAATCACTTGAATTGAATTATGTTACATTTATAATTTGCACATTTAAAAATGTAACATAACTAATTTAAATAATACATTTGAATGGACACTGTGTAGAGATTTAACTGGTATGTTTAATGTAAGTTCAGTTGAGACAGAAAGATCGTACAGTTGTATATGGGTACTTTTAATACCAGACGATACAAAATTCGTAGCAAATTATATAATTATATAATATATTGTTTAATTAATATCTGTCTGTTATAAATAATACAACTTTACTTGCAGTTCTTATATTTTAATTTAATGAACTTGTATTACTCCTAAAATATTCAGTTCTTGATTAATGAAATATATATGTATACCTATTTTTGGTTCTAGACCATTGTGTAAGAATGTTGTAAATTAAAATAATTTGTATTATTATTATATGCACATAAACATACAGTACCAAAGCTAGGGGAGCACAAATAGGGCGTATGTCTAGCATCCAAATTAAATAATTATTATATAAATAATCATGAGTTACGCAAAAACATTTTTCAGGGCACCTCAATACTTAGTGCCAGCAATGAACATAAAGTATAAAGTATATTTTACATTCCAGTGTCACAACCAATATTTTTTTCTTCAGCTTTTGATGATGAAATAATAAGGATTAAGTTATTACTGCTGATAATGCTATATGATATACATATAAGAAAATATATATTATATTGTATTAAACAAACACAATTATTTTTGAAGTTATAAAATAAAATAAATTGTAAATTTTTTTTTAAGTCTCACTTATTATACATTATCATGATATATTTTACTTATAGAAAACCAGAGTGTTCTTTGGCATGGTAATTAGAGAAATTTATTACAGTGCAGAACTTGTATTAATATCTTATAAAAACCTTCCATAATATAATCAAAATGCTGAAATGAAGGTCATATTAAACATATAGATCAAATGTATGAGTATATTATTCATCATAATCTGCTAGATGGTAAAAGACTATATATATTTTAAAACCATCACTTCCAATTAAATTTAACGGCTATGCTTGTACTTTTACCTGTAATTTCTGTAACTTCAAACATATTTCTACCTCTTTTTTGAACAATTTAAGGTTTTCAGCAACATTTACGATTAACTTCAAAGTTCAAATACTCTGGTTTATTGAAGTTATTTCCACTTTTATTTATAAAGTTAATGTTTAAACAAAATTTAATCTACTTAAATCGCATTTCTTATAAATTGTGACATGTTTCGTTATCTTCTAGGATATTTATTTATACGTCGTTTATAATGAAAAAAAGACAGACATACTTCGCACAATGGGTGGACCACTGTTGTAAGTGAGAAGTTGAGAAGATAGAGAGATCATTTTATATATAAGCATACGTAACGATTAACTACTGCTAACGAAAAACGATTTGGAGTGAAATTTGGTTTGTACATTTGTTAAAAAGCCAGGCCGTAATATTTACAATTTTCGTCAAAATTTGGTATTAAAATTCGTGTGAAATAATAGTCTACATTACACGTGCAGTGAGCAGCTTAACAGCTGCTTGATAGTAGCCTTTCAAACAAAAGGTATAGACAATTTTTGTTCACACTATACAAAATAATTGTATATAGCATAATGAGATATGACTCTCAAGTTGAAATTATTAATTCATAAATGATTTAAAATATTCAATTTAATTTGGGTTTGTTATGAATATTGTTAGAACTATTCAATTACCACTCTACATAAACGCATTTTAAATATAGTTTAAAGAATCGTGATTTTTGTCTAAACTATATCCAACAACTTTATAATGCTAAATACAAATAATGAACATTATAATTAACACAACTGTATTTTATTTATAGAATATTTTGTCCAGGAATTTGTTTGCTAAGTTTCCAGGAATCGAAAAAATAAACAAAAACACGAATAATACCACAGGAACAACGATTAAACCGATTATTAACTTTTTTTTGTTGGCTTTGAATAATTTATGAAATATACCCGTAAATAGACCCGTAAACTTCTCCATGTAGTGAGTCGAAGGTCTTCTATCCACATATAAAATAAAACGTATAATTTATAAAATAATTACTTGATTACAACTTGAATTATAATTTTTATAGGATGAAAATAATATTACTTTGGCTCGGGTAAAGGTTGTGGCCCATCTCTACCGAGTCCTGCTGGTTGTGTATCTGCTTCTTGCTTAGTAATTATTTGAATTTCAGCGTCCAATTTTCCCTTATTTTAAATAAATAGAGTACAGTTTATTATCATACAATATGTTAAAACTATACTTAGTAATGTAAGTTATTTATATGAATTCAATTTAACAATATATTTACTACGATCAAATTTTTATTATCTTTTGTAGAAACGAACGGCCACCAACCACGTGCCTTTTTTATTTTGAACAAATTTATTCGGGGTACACTGTTGGACATAGTACACCACCTTGATGATTTCGTACCCTTAGGCATATTCCATAAATCCAAGTTCAAAAAACCTTAGATTAATAAGAGAATAATGTATCCGATAAATATGTTATACGAAGTGATCAATCTATCATAAGAGATTCTTTATCTCGGTAAGTATTAACGTTGTTCGACATTTATTTTATGGACAACTTTAAAAACAAGCAGAAGCTCTGAAATTTTACATTTATGTAATTTTTTGAGGTGAAAGTACTATCTATTATTGATTTTTAAATAGCAACCTATATTAAAAATTCCATAAATAGATGAAGTAGTGGTTAAAATAAATGTTAGTGTTTAAATTTATAATTTCCGTCAACCCGTTAACGAGATATTCCACTTTTAATTTTAGATCGGGGAAAAGTAGTAGTACATTCTTAAAACGCCTCGCGTTGTGCTGCTACACAAATGATTTTTTACTATTCTCCCTGATCCAAACTTAAAAGTGGAATATCTCGTCAACGGATTTACGGAAATTACAAATTTAAACACAGACAATTATTTTAACTACTATTTTATCTATTTATGGAATTTTTAATATAGGTTGCCATTTGAAAATCAAAAGTAGGTAGTCATTTCACTTCCGAAAATTAACTTCCTTAAAACAAATTTCGAAAAAAGTTTACACTTTCCGAGTGTCTTACGATATATTGATTACCCAATATATCTACCGTCCTCTAAGTCTTCTAAGCCAAAGGACATACCAATATGGTTCAGGAGGACAGTATGCACGGTTTTGTCCAAATATGGGTGCAATATGTGTTTTATACCTATATATGAATCTGGAGTTATTCGATCGTTGTCCCAAATTTGAAGATGTAACCTCGGTAATACGTGTTGTTCCTCGTCATACCAAGAGAATAAGTATTTTTCATTATGTACGATAATATTTTCCGTTTTATTATACGAAAATGGGAATTTAAATCGCCAGTTAAACATTCCTTCTCCATTTAATGACCGGTAATGTATGTCTGTGGATTGTTGTTCGATACCAGGTAGCCATCTAGTAATGAAGGTGCCGATAAATGATAATGTTGTTAAAGCCATATTGGCATTGGATTTAATTTTTACAACCCCTTAATATAAATATCACTGTATTTTTCTCCAGTAAAATAACTGTCATCTACTAGTTGTACGTTCGTGACAGACCAAATGATTACACGGAGTTCGTAATGTTCAACAGCCGGTGGACTAATATCCACCATTGCAGGGATATTTTCGTCTTTAGGAAACATGTCGATCCACATTTCTAATGTTCCCTACACAAAAAAAAGAATTAAAAGAGATAATACCGCAGAAGGGTGTGCCACTATTGGTAGAAAGTTGGGAAGGTAGGATACATAAGGTAAATAATTACATGCGCGACGATAAATCATTGTTGACGAAATACAATTCTGAGCGAAGTTTGGTTAAACATAATTTAAAATGTATTGATTAATTAATTTTTATTTATTTTTAAAAAAAATAGCGAACAGTAAGTTCTGTAATATACATATATTATCTATACATATACAATAAAGATAGTAATTATATAGCTAACATATTTTTTGATACACAAATAATATAAGATAAACAATAAAGTGAATAGATCAAGAATATAAAAAAAAAGACGGATATACTTCGCACGTAGGTTGGTCACTGTTGTAAGTAAAAAGTTGTCGAAGGTGAAGGTAGTTGAGGGAAAATGAAGGGGGAAATTTGAGAGAAAATCGAAAAATGAATTGGTTTATTCGTAGGTATTATGAATATTAATTTTAAAGAAAATATTAGAAAGTAGGGAATAGTCAACAATATTATTATTGCATTGGTGGACACTTAACTTTTTTTTATTATTATAAAACTGTTTAATAAATGTCACTTTTATTACTACTATAACTTATCGATCAAAAACAAAAATCCAAAAAATATATGTGTAAACAAGCTAAATAAAAGTTCCCATCGGTCTATTGAGATAAACTGGGTCAAAACAGCATTCTCTTTCATAAGATATCCTTTAAAATATTACTACTATAATAGTACTGTCAATTTTTTTATGGTTTTTATATGTATTACTGTTCTAGTAAGTAGCACTTAGTAGTAATATTTACAAGTAACCTCTGATGTAAAATTGCAGTATAACTGCTATAACAGTATTATCGGTTTACTATCCATTACCGCGTTAAGTTATTTGAATAGAAATCTCATAGGTATAGTGAAAGTTTATTTTATCTTTTAAAGTTTTTAATTTTAAATATCTCATTAAGAATATCAGCAAATCCAGAGTGATAAATAAATATGAATATTTCATTTAAACAAATAAATCTAACACAATTATTTTGAAATTTTAAAAATTGATCACTTTTATCGATGGTGTCATCAGAATTGTTTTCTGATAGATATTCTCCATGTAATTGAAGAATATTCTAGTTGAAGACAAAAAATATAAAGGAAAAGACATTTTAATGTGAAAGGGCCATTGAAGTAGGAGTTTTATATTATATTGGTAAGTGTATATCTTTGACCTATTATCTAACGGTGTTATTAGAATTTACATACGAGATAGTTAATTATTTTGTTTTCTCGTAATTATAATAATTAATAGTCAGTCTTTTTCCGGCTGACAATGGTTTATTTTATATGCATTATTATAATATTTCGATCACTAAAATATAACAATGTAGATAGAAGATAACACATTATCCAACTGAGTTCTCAAACAATTTCTCCAAATTGTTTTTATTACTTTGCAACTAACCAATATCTTACTTCACTCATAATTCATCATTTAAATTTCCGTAGAGTTTATCACCAACATTCTCGTTTTTTCCTGAGGACATACTTCAAGTACTATGGCATTTCTGTTCGTCCACTATACAGGGTATTTCTCTAAGTGTGCCATTATTTTTTATTTCTATCTACCCATTAACGAGATATTCCATTTTTAAGTTTAGATAGGCAACATTTGAATAATGAGTTTTGGTAGGACCGGAAGCTTAAGCTGCAGATTGGATTACATTTGTTAGGTTATTTATCGCTACATAAATTTCTTGGGGGGATTTGAGACTAATTTTGAGATTTATGTTTTGATCGACCAAGTCGTGGAATTTATGCCTATCAATAGTATGGAGAAAGAGTTTTGGTAGGATAGCAACGATGTCGCTTCGTCAGTCCCTGAATATATTCGCATCCTTATATCCATTAAGCGTAGAGCAAGGGCCCAATACCAACGCTCACGCCTTCCATCCCACAAACGTATTTATAACAATCTATCTAACTCACTGAAAAAAATACTCATCAAGCATAAAAATCAATCTTTTGAAAATCATCTCTCAAATTTGTCACCTAAGAATGGCAATCTCTGGTCAACTACCAAAATTCTTCTAAAATACAAACCTCCGCTCGTTCCCATAATAAATCCTCATGGTGGACTTGCAACTACCGATGCTGAAAAAGCTGAGCTGTTTAAAGAATATCTAACTGAAACCTTCATGCCTCACCCGGATATACAAATACCTTCTCATACTGACATAGTTAATCGCTCACTCGTTTCCCCTCTTTCTACTTTTCCCGCANAAAAATCTCCGGGGTTCGACCTGATTACTGCAGAAGTGGCCAGATCCCTGCCCAAAAGAGCCATTGTACTTCTCACAGTTATATATAATGCGTGTCTAAGGTTGTCTTATTTTCCTATGCTTTGGAAATTTTCTGTAACGATTCTAGTTCTAAAACCTAACAAGCCTCCCGACTTATCCTCCTCCTACCAACCTATAAGTCTCCTCCCCTTCTTCAGCAAAATTCTCGAAAGATTAATTCTTAAAAGAATTCTTCCATGCATCTCTTCCAATTCCATATTACCTAATACACAATTTGGTTTTCGTACCGCTCATTCCTCAATACATCAGCTGCACAGACTAGTCGATGCTATTTCCTTCTCCCTTGAAAAAAAAAGTTATTGCTCCTGCGTTTTCTTAGACATTTCCCGAGCTTTCGATAGGGTATGGCATGAAGGTCTGCTATATAAAATTAAACCCATAGTTCATCCTTCCTTTTACTTACTAATCAAATCTTACCTCGCGGATCGATATTTTCAGGTCAGAGCTGGCACATCCCTTTCTGGTTTAGGAAAGATTAGCGCAGGCGTTCCTCAGGGGGGCATTCTTTCTCCTCTATTATATAACATCTACGCTGCCGATCAACCCACATCTCCGAATACAGCTGTTGCGGAGTTTGCTGATGACAAGGCCATTATTTCTATCCATGATAATCCTCACACAGCTTCCCACAATCTTCAACTCCACCTTGACCTCATGGCTGATTGGTATAAAAAATGGCGTATCAAAGTTAATCAATCCAAATCACTCCATACAACATTTACTCTTCGTCGTACTCCCTGTCCTATGGTATCTCTAGACAATATTCAAATCCCTTCCTCTCAAACGGCCAAATACTTAGGTCTGACAATTGATCGTCGTCTCACTTGGTCACATCACATAAAAACTAAAAGGCTTGCCTTAAATGCACGACTCCGCATCCTTAAAACCCTAATCTCTAACAACAAACACACTCCATTAAATACTAAACTCTTAATTTACAAATCCCTGTTCAAGCCGATGTGGACCTATGGTCTTCAACTCTGGGGCAATGCCAAAATATCCAACACTAATAAAATTCAAACTTTCCAAAATAAATTCCTTCGCTTAATTACAAATTCTCTCCCTTACATCTCAAATCTAACTTTACACACCGATCTAAAAATGAAATCAATCCATGAATAAGCACTAGCCTTTTACAAACGATTCCACTCTANTCATTTCGAACCTTGCCACTCTCACTATTCCTGGGAATCCTCCCAAAAGGCTCAAAAGGAAATGGTGTCGACACCTCCTCACTGTTTGATAAAATTAAGCAATATAAATAAAGAAAAAAAAAACCATCTAGTTAGGGCAGTGTTACCACTGGGTGACTCCTCTCTTCATTTCATCATGTTTTTATTTACTCATTTACCTCATATTCTTATTGTTTCTCAAGGAACAGATTGTATATTCTTCGTATATAAAATAAAAAAATAAAAATAAAAAGTTTATATTGGGGGAGGAGTAATGTAGTATCATTTGTGTGGCGGACACGGCATGTGGCATTTTATTAGTGCTCCAATACTCTCCCCTAATCTAAATTTAAAAATGGAATATCTCGTTAATAGGTAGACGAAATTAAAAAATGTTGGCACGTAAATTTATTTGAAGTAATACTCCGTCTATTTATGGAAATTTTAATATAGGTTCACATTTGAAAAACTAAAGTTGGTATCACCACAGGATACTTCTTAAATGTAATGAAAAATCTAAGTATTTAAAAATATGGACTTTAACTGCACTTAAAAATTCCAAAAATCAGAATTTAAATATTTGCAAAATTTAACCGAAAAAATGGGGCGGGCACGCTTAATGAATCATCCTGTATAACTGTTGTCTTTCTCTTATGTTTCCTATCTTTCTCTTATATTGATATCTTAAGTTATAATTTATTAATAAGTGAATTATTTCAATTGGATGTTGACACTCCTATCCTTGATTTAGTCGTATATTACTTGAAAAAAAAAATTTATTCTTGGCACCTCTTCTGAAATTTTTAAAGCGACCTCCAGTGTCCCTGAGGAAAGCCACCATGGTCCTTACTTTTCTTTTAAAATATTTATTTACCATGAACCACATGATTACTCAAACATATATATGTTTTATTATACATGTCTTAAATACTTCTACACTTTCTTCACCAAATACCCCCTCTACGCTATTGCAACTCTCTGACTATATCTAATTTTAATAAACAAACCTTTCTGCATCTAATCTTGAAATCAGATTAACGCCAAATTCAAAAATTATCATATTAAACAAAAATCGAAAAAATTTAAAGTACCTAATAAAACTAATAACGCCGTGCAATCAGTTTTTCTTTTAATAAAATTGTTCTTTAAAGACATAAAAATCGCATTCAATGTAGTACAAATAATATTATATATATATATATATACATATTCCTCGTTCCACTCAAAATATATATATATATATATACATATTCCTCGTTCCACTCAAAATCTAAAAATATTAAACATTTTTACATTATTTCCTTCAAACTTAATTTTAATTATTTATTTTTTTATTTTATGATAAATTACTTGATGCAAATTGGGCATATTTGGATTGTATAATGTTCTCGTTTCTACGTGTTCTGGAACTAAAAAGTAACCGACAACTGGCATCTCGTGCCAATGGTTTAATGCGTATAAAGCTAACGATTGTCTGTCAATATTTTTGTTTTCACCTGGATCATAAAACTGCTTAGAACCGATTTTAACGCTATTTTGCATATATATTGGAGGTTTTAACGAATGCATAAGACATAATTTGTGTAAAATATTTGTCGGATTTTCAGTGTCCCTCCAACGATTATATCCATCCCTGAAAATATATATTATATTTAACTAATTATAATTTGATTTAAATTGATCGATCACAACAAAAACCACTTGGGAACTATTATAATTTGATTACTTTAAACCAGTTCCAGGTAAATACAGGTTTAAAAAAAATTGTTTGATAAATATTCCATATTGGTTTTATAAAAATACATTTTTTTTTTTTTTTATATATTCAAATTTAAATATAATATATCTAGCGGTAATTTCTTCTGATTGTCCTTGAATTTAAATTTCATTTTCAGTAGGTGATATGGAGTACTGAAATACACAATTCAAGATACATTTCCAATGTTTAACTCTTTCTGTGCGCTTTCTAAATGCGCAATACAACTTACTTTTTTTTAAATTGCAACCTTATTTTTATTTTTATATACATTCGAGTAGATCTATTTTTGTAAGTAATTTTCATAAAACCATTTTTTTTTTTCTAAACTCAATATTTACCAAATTATAGTTGTTCACATTTTAACAAACAACAATAATCTATTTTGAAAATGTTTTATTCATTATTTAATTAATAAAATAACATTAATATATATTTATCTAATGAAATGTTCAATATTTTCCTTGTGATGCTTACTCATAATTCAAACCGTTAATAAGTTATGTTACTTTCACCACTTTTATTTGGTCCTCTGTTAATATCAGTGTAATAATCTCCAATTTTCTAATACCCCCACAAAAAAAAAAAATCTAAAACATTAAATCCGGATATCGTGTTGTCCAAGAAACTGCTCCATGTATACTAATCAATATAACAATCTGGCGATTCAATTATTTCATTTAATAATATTTCACTGTTGTTAATATTGGTAGTTCGTTTAATACAAATTTAAATATTGTCTAACATTAAGTATTTCATGAAAAAAGCACGAATCAAAAAGCTAAAACCATATATTAATTTCCCAGACAGTTTGAAATATTATTTTACGCGATCAATGTGGATTCGTATCATCCTAGAATCTATTATTTTGGTTGTTTAAACTCCATTCTTGATAAATTTAACATATATAACAGGGTTTTCTATATGGTTTTGCAAATTAAATTCTGAGAGGAGCGTAGAAGCTTATGGTTTTACAAAGATATTTTTTTTTTTATCTGTGCGCAACGTTTCTACAAGAAGTCTTGCTCCTATTTTGATTTTTAAGAATAGCATCTTTTCTGAAATGAAATCAATGTGGGAAGACACTGTAGGTCATTTTTCGATTTTCCTAAGAGTTTTCTCATCAATTGCGAAAAACCGAAAAAAACAGAGGGAAAATTGGAAAATGTACGAAATATATTAGTTAAATATTACAATTTATTTTTATCTGAACGCAACTTTTTTACCAGCAATTTCGCTTCAACTTTTTTAACGACAATAATGTTTCTAAAAGAAAATTTTACTAGCAAAGTAATTCAAAGAGATATTTTTTCGATTTTCCTAAGAGTTTTCTCAGCAAATGTGAATAACCGGGATAAAACACTAAAAAACCGGGAAAAACGTAGGAAAACTGGGAAAATCGGTACAACATTAAAGAAATATTATTAAAAAAAATATATAAAGCCTATTTAATTATTTAACTATAATAATAATATATAGGGTGTTTATTAAGAACGACGGGTTTAATTTCATTATTACTTTATCAAAAAAAAAAAAAAAATGTTTAATTAATGATTTTTTGAAAACAAAAAAATTACATGAACATGTAATACCTAAATAATATCTGGCATATGTCCACTTCTGATTCGCTAACAAACTTCAGTCTGGTGACAAAATCGCTATCACTTGCCGAAACATATCCTGGTCCAGTTAACCAGTAACACGACGAATTTCATCATTCTTCAATGGTTCGCAGTTTATTTTCATGGACGTGAGCTTTAACGTAACCCCAAAGAAAGAAATCCAGTGGAGTTAGGTCACACTACCTGGGAGGCCAGTTCTGATCACCACACCGTATAATAAGTCGATCCTTAACAAATGCATTTATAACCCTGTGTACATTAAGTAATACCAAGCTAGTCAAACTACTTTGCCTCATACGTGATCTCATCCATATTTTTAATCTAATAAACAAATCGGTAAGCACAAAAGAAATGTACTTATAGCGTGTATTTTAAAACATTCAAGTATATGATTATTAGTTAATAAGTGACACTTTTGACCAAATTGACTTTTTGACTTCGACAAGTTTAAAAAAATCAGCTTTATCAATGATAAAAAGGTGTAAGCGACTAGTTCATTAGAAATAATAATTATTTATAATAAATATTCATTTAAACATTATTAGCAGTGTAAATAGTGTAAGCGACAAAATTATTGTATTTATCCAAAATGTATTTTCTACCTAAACGTCAAATCAGCTGCAGGCCTCCAAATATTTGGAATTTGCTTCATAGAAATGTTAAGAAATATAAATTATTTGGTTATTATTTATTATCTAAAATGTATTGATATAAAATATAATTTTTGAATTTGGTTTGTACATTTCAAATATTATTAAAATTATTTTTCTTTAATTCATTGTATACATGTAATTCTTCTAAAACTGAATTAATGTAAATGTCATTTTAGCTATTCTACATCTCTAATTCTGTATTAATATCAAAGTTATGGTTATTACTTATATTATAAAACATGTTTAGCGAAATTTTAATTAGAGACAGCCTTATTTAATTTTATTACAGAAATGTGTAATTTATGTTTTATTTTAATATTTCTATTTGTCTTACCTATATGCAATTTATTACAGTTACATTTAAGTTTACATAAACTAGCATTTTCAAAAGAAGGGGATTTGCTGTGAAGATTTTAGTTCTAGTGTTTTTATGTTTGGTTAAATTATTATTAGTCTTAAAAGCCATTTTTACATTATTTGTATCATTGTTCAGAATTTTAGCGAATTGGTTAGACATATTATTTTAATATTTCATACTACAATAGTTAACAATATTATTTGGTGAGTTGTATTTTTTCGAAAAGAAGGGCTACTTATAGTTGGTCCTTAAGTGCACTTTTATCTGAAATTTACATGCGAAATTTTGAAACTAATAATATAATAATAACAACAAAAATATACAGTCCATATATAAAAGCATACTATAGATATGTTGATGACACTTTCATTAATGAGGTTTAGAGGTTCAAATAGACAAGCAGAAAATTGAGTCAACTACTTAAACAAAATATATAAAAACATTTAATTTACAATCGAAATACAAATTAATAATAAATTACATTTCTTAGATCTTACAGTTTTCATAATAAACAATAAATTTGATTTTGATTTTAGTATTTACAGGAAACCTACATAAACTGATGCTATAATACCACATGATTCTATTCACTCTTATTCTCAAAAATGTTGATTTTTTAATTCAATATTCTATAGGCTTGAACGTATAAAAAGACTGTCTCTAATTCAAATTTTGCTAAACATGTTTTAGAAAATAACCATAATATAAGTTTAGGCTCTTAATGGAATCAAATAAAAAATTAAAGACTTTTATCATTTTTCAATTTACACCCATTGTACATCAAGAAAGAATCTTAACCTAAAAACAAAAAAGTACAAAAAAATATGGGTGTAGCCCCTGTTGTTGGTGAGAAGTTGGGAATGTAGGATAAAGAAGGTTAATTAATTTGTATCTGTAAGCAATGATAAACCATTGCTAAAGAGAAAACGATTCTGAGTGGAGTTCAATAGTGGAGTTGATAGTGATGCTTTGTCAACAATACGTATGTCATATGATAGCAAAACAATTAAATAGGTATCTTTAATAATATTTGTTTAATATCGTACCGATTTTCCCAATTTTTCTACGTTTTTCTAAGTTCTTCACATTTGTTGGAAAACAAACAGGAGTAAGCTTGTATGTAAGCCAGTACCTGCAAATCTATATCCCCATTTAACGTATTCGGTTTTAGCCTTCGTTGGCAATTTTGTGTACGCAAAGATTTTCTTTCTTGATTTAATCCTTATCAGAATCATAAAACATAATTATGTAATATGTGGCAGATGGCACCTTTCTGGGTACTGTTCGGTACAAGTTAGAAAAGCTAGGTGAGTGTTACCTAACCTAACCTTACGATGGCATTCTTTAAAAATTAAAAACTCAGTTTTTTCAACGTTATTCATATTCGTAAAATTATAGGAACACTTACTAAAAACAATAAAAAAGGCCTATAACTACTAAAAATTGGTGTACAAAAATGATTTATGAAAGCAACATGGTATTAACCATAGTAAGGTAATTTAAAATTAGACAATTAGATAATTACAATCTTAATTATTATAATGTTCCTACGATACCTAAGTGTACAGAGAGATAAGATTAAACATTTGGAAAAATATTTTTTAAAACTTTAAAAAACTATAAGTTAGTCAATTTTGACTTAAAAAAAAAAAAAATGCTCAATTAAAATTGATTACAAAAATAGGCTCACACAAATCTATAGAAAAAATTGGGTGTTGCTGTTTAAAAAAAAAGTAAGATGTATACTTGCATTGCGCGTGCGAGCACAGAAAGAATTAAATATTGGACATTTTTCCTAATATTGTGTAAGTATTTCTGTATGTCAAAAACCAATTCAAAATAATTCAAATTCAAGGTCATCTAGCCAAAATATTTAGTGTTACTTGAAAATGTATTCACACTATAGTTTTTTTCTACAGTGGCGTATTTACAAGATAACCTCTCTTCATAACTTTTTATCCATAATATATTATTAAATTATATAAATCGTACATAATATATAGGTAATAATTGATATTTTAAAATTAGGTATTAAAAAAATTAAATCCATAGGTTTATAATTTATATTGATAGTGTAAAATGCTCAGTTATAGAGATAAAATTATCATGTCTGCGATGAGACCGTGATGTGTGATCGTGGAGGTGTTTGGAATGTTTCAAATTGTTTATTATGGGAGCTGTGAACTAAGAAATATGTAGACAAAATCTTAAATAGGTACATGGTTAATAGATTTCACTATTACGAATATTGTGGATAAACTAATAACTATCAAGTTTAATATTTAATTTCAACTAAGAATAACTTGTTAAATCGATTTGGTAATCCACAGTGAGCTCTATGCTTGCTGTAATATCTTGATTCAATATCTATTGTCGTTTCACCGATTAATTCGTTTTTTCCAATTCGATCATAGTCCATAATTCTAATTTGTATAACTGAACATTCTGGTAACGATACTTCTCTTTCATAACATCTTTTAAGACCAAACATATAAACAAAATTAGTTTTCACCAACAAAAAAAACATGTTCTTTTTTTAAATGTATGAAATGTGAACAAAAACTTAAGAAACATTTGAAAATTGCCGATACATAATATGTACCTACCTACCAAATATAGGATTTAATGATTTAGGAATATAGTTCTTGTAATCTGAAATTCTACGGGACTTTCCAAATAAAATTTCTACATATGGATCTGATAGTCCACCTATATCACTGGGATGCAAGTTATGTGCTCTTAAAATATACACGCGTACAATAATATTACATTTAACATTTGATTTTAATTTCGGCCAAATTTTAAATTCTACATTCGAGCAATGAGATTCTCTCAAATGAACGTTTTCCTTGTTAACTGGTTCTGGATATAAGTAAATGTTTCCCTATAAATGTAGATAAATTAATAAATAACACATATTTGGAAGCAATCATCACACATGATTGTAAAAAATAATACAGACTTAATTCGCACAATGGGTGGGTCACTGTTGTTGGTTAAAAGTTGGTAAGATAGAATATAGAAAGGAATTCATGAAATATACTATACTAGATGATTCATTAAGTGAGTACATTCATTATCTTGGAAAGTATTACATTTTTTAGGAACCTTTTTTCTAGAACATTTTAGAAACAAGCTACTACAGCCTTTACCATATTACTATATACTATGTTATTTTTTATCACCCTTATTTTCGAGAGTAAATCCCCCACTTACTTTTGATTTTCAAATAGCAACCTATATTAAAAATTCCATTAATAGATGGAGTATTAGTTAAAATATATATATTAGTTTTCATTGATGTTTTCTTCATATTAGTGTAATTTAGGGCATTACATTTAGATTCTGAGTGGAGCGAGAAATTTATTGACCGATTAACAATGGTAGTTATTTTTTTTTCTGTAAAATTTTTATCTGCGTGGTATTTTTATAAGGTTATTTTTTTTATTTTTTTTTTTGAAGCGGATTTCCTAATAATTTGAAAAACGGCAAAATTTATAAAATGTATTATTTTCAAATTTGATTTTGTTGTAACCCAGTTAAAAATATTCAGACAAAAAATTTACCTTTGTCATTTTTAAACGTGGTAAATTTTTTGTCTAAATTTTTTGTCTGAATATTTTTAACTGGGTTACAACAAAAACAAATTTGAAAATAATAAATTTTATAAATTTTGCCGTTTTTCAAATTATTAGGAAATCCGCTTCAAAAATAAAAAAAATAACTAAAATAATTTCAGAAAAACAAATAACTACCATTGTTAAACGGTCAATATATTTCTCACTCTACTCAGAATCTAAATGTAATGCCCTAAATTATACTAATATGATGAAAACATATACATTCCGTTTACGTATACTGTATACGTAAATAATTTATTGTCCTAGTCTAGCAGTTTTGTAAAAATATTAATTTATATTAATTACTTTTAAAACAGCTATACTTTCTGAGTGTCTATTATCATCATTGTTCAATCCGGAGATTTCAAATTTTTTTATATTATCTTCAAACTTCTCAAACTCTGGTACATTTTCTAATTCGCTATCATAAACCTTGAAACAAATATCAAATTATATTTAAAACCCATTTGTTTAATGTTACTCATACTATTATAGATTTAATTTTTGAATAATATTTGGCTAAAGAAGTTTTGACTTGAGATTCATTGCAACACGCACAATTCGGCATAACTTTACATGCCATTTTTGAAAATGTACTTTTACGCTTATTCTTTTTGAAAGTATTCTGTAATTTTTAAATTATTATTAACTATTATTGAATAATTACTAACAAAAGATATATTGTATAGGTTTCAAGTATAATGTAATTTTATTTTAATGTATTCGTATAAACTCGCTCAAACTCAAATTTTATACAATAAATTATTTTTTATAATTATATTGATTGTTAGGTACATAAAAAAACAGAATTTGATTTATTTAGTTATTATATATTTTTATTTTTTTACCCTAACTGTATTCTATAATCATTTGTAATACCTCTAAACAGTTTGAGTACACTTTATGTTTAATTAATTAAATACATTTTTGATTATTAATAATTTATACGACCGTTTGGTATTTAAATCCATAGTATTTTGTCCACCAGGTGAATTCGTTTTCATCTTCGTCAAGCTCGTTATCGATTAAATTGTAATATTTATCCTCGAAATTGTCCTTAAAATTCTGATATTTTGTGGATGACCAGTTAGCAATTCCATTAATAAATGGACATATACATACTAATGTATCAAATACAAAAGTTAAAATTGACTTAATATGTTTAAAAATCCATGATATTATTATTTTTAAGATAGACGGTGTTAAAATGTCAACTGTTCTTTTTGAAAAATCATATATCAATTTAAAGCTAAACTGAAAATAAAAATAATTTAAAACTCATAAGTTTTTACGCATTATTTTATGGAAAGAATTACTTTTGAATCTATTTTATTGCTGTTTAATAACTTGCTATTAGTATTTTCAATTTTTGTTCCTATTCCTATTTCTCTTTCTTCTTCTATTTCTAGAACTGTTTTAACATGGGTTTTAATAAAAAAAAAGCTGATATTGGGGATAGGAGTGGCCATTATTGTAGGTGAGAAATTGAAAAGGTAGGATACATAAAATTATTTCATTTATATCTGTAAGCAACGATAAACCATGGCTTAACGAAAGACAATTCCGAGCGTAGTTCGATAATACATAATTTGAAATTCCGTAATTTTTTTTTGCGATTTTCATTTAAATTTTATTTCAAAACGCTGATTAAAAAATTCGTCCGATGATTTTGAAAATGTTACCACGTCTAAGTAAGTTCAATATAAGTATTATTACCAAGTTTCAAATCTCTACGTGTATTTATAACTGAATTACAAAAAACTCACAAAAATTAAAGTTTCTTAAAAGCTCAAAAGTATTGGCAATAATACCGTAAGAAATTAAATCAAAAAGGCAACAAAAATGTATCATGTGATTTTTCGATTAAATAATTTTTTCTGGTAGAAAACGTCGTCTGTGTTTTTATAAAATAATGAAATCGTAATAATGAAAATTATTCATTTTCTTACGTTTTTCCCCATTTAATTGTTTTTATTTAAAAAATAACCTCTCTTGATTTAGACAACTTGAGCTCTCAGAAAAGTTAGTATACGTAAAAATCGGAAAAAGTTTACTAAAAAAAATGTGACTACAGACTAGAACAAAGAAAAAGAAAAAATAGAAGAAATAAATAGAAAAACCGCTACGCTCGGAATCTAAAAACCAAAATACACCAAATAAATAATCAATTTTACCAGAATGAACTGGATTCTCATTTCTTAGTTGTTTCCATTCAAATTCTGATATCATAGGAACTAAAAACTCATTTATAGTTTGAAAAGTACTGCACATTCCAACTGCAATAGGTTCTTTTTGTAGCTTATTCTTAGTAAAAAGTTGAAAACATATCGGGGGTATGAGATTTAGATCTTCAGGTAATTCCTTGGTTATTTGTAGTAAAACCATTAATAAAAATACGACTTTTATTTAGCTACATATATTACTTACTATATTTAATAAACATTTTGTATTCGATTCGCTTGGAAAATTTGGGAAGGAGATAACCTTTTTAATTATATCAGAGTCGACGTATATACCAGAGCAGTACATTCGAACGAACGGCTCACGTAAGTGTAAATTCAATTGTCGCAATCCCCAAAACAGTACATTTAATCTATGAATTATTTTTATATTCAAAATAAATATTAAATAAAGATAAATGATATTGTATACATAATTATTTAATATCTATTAAAAACTTAACTGGTAAACCCGACATTTTGGTTGTACGTCTTTTAATAGAGGGGCGTACGAATCATTTTCAGTTTCTTCATTAGAATAATTAGATATTTTTAGAATTTCTGCAGCCATAAATATTTTACCAATTTTTTCCGATCTGTTCATAATATCAAACCAATCTAATGTGTTATGGGAAATTGTTTCAATTTTTTTTTTATCAAGAACAGTAAAGGCAATAACATTCTATAAAATCTGCAGTATTAGATAACATACCTATATTTTATTAATTTATTTGGATATACCTATTTACTTACTTCAATTAATTCTTTTTTTTTTTTTTTAACTTGACATAATTGAAAAATTGCATAAATTGGAGTAATATTATCATTATCTCCAAATCGCGTAAATACAATTGGTTTAAACGATATTGAAACATTCCAAAATGGCCATAAATGTGAGTTATTTATTACCTAACAATAATAATGGTGATCTTAAAACGACTATAGTTATTACTGTACAAATATTTTAGTGTAGATAATGTAAATAACTATAAGACAATAATGTAAATATGTCCCTATCATAATAATATATGTTTAAAACGTATTAGGTACCCACTCTACATTAATTATTAATAATAACCACTCGTTTCAACTATTATACACTTTCAGTGTACAAAAATGGTATAAGTATGTATAGATGGTCTAAAACAAAATTACAATAATTACACAATAGATAATTAATAACTTACCTCTGTTGTTTTTGAATGTCCATTAAAAATGATTCTTATCATTAAATTTAACTGGCCATATTTTTTGAAACATTTTTCAGTTAGCGCTGCTTGACTTATATGTACTTTCAACTGTAATAACTAAATATAATGTATTTAAAAAAAAAAATTAAATATAGAAATTAGGCAGGTAACTGTGTCAAATATATATTTAATAATAATAATTAGTTAAAAATTACTGTTTTATCATATAATTTGCATTTATATTGTGAACAAGGTTGTTCATTACAATTATTTAACACAAGTCCAGGAATTTGGTTTAATCCCAAGTTAAAATCAATGTATGGACCTACCCAAAGTACAGTTTCCAAAATTCCATCAAATACATTTTCCTTTTTATCGGTAGCCTGTTTTTATATAGTTAAATTAAGTCATTAGTATTTTTCATTAATGTATATTTATTTATTTATTTACACCTTATTTATAAATAATTAGTTCATGTATGGTCAATTTTAATTTTTTTTTTTTTTACTTGCCTAATCAGTGGCAGATTTAGAGGGTTTGATATATCCAATCGCCTCTCCCCTCGCTCACTCTTCAATACACTCTTCTCTCTTCTCTTTCCTTAGTTTTTATAGGCCATTTAGTTCCATTGCCCAACAACCAAATGCCACCACCTATCCTTGTCTTGAGCCACTTGCCCTCCATTGTTCATTCCCAGCCTCGATGTCTCTTTGGTAATTTTGTTTCTCCATCGCTGTTTGGGCCATTCTTTCGGTCTTTTTGTATCCGTTTTCCAACCTACGTCCAACTCAATGAGATCTTCAGCTTTTCAAACATGTCTAACTCATCTTAGCCTACTGCTCTTAAGGACTTTAATTATGTTTGTTTCGTCATAAAGATATTTTATTTCTTGATTTGATCTTTTTTCGAAATCTCCACGATCTTTTCTTTTTGGACCAAATATCCTTCTAGAGACCTTTCGTTCAAAATTAGCTAGCTTATTTTTTTCATCTTAGTTTTTGCCCATCATGCACCACAAACATATAGCTACCGGTCTCATCAGAACTTTGTACAGCGTTATTTTCATTCTCCGTAATAGTATCTTTAACTCGAATAGGAGTATTAGTCCAAAATCACATTTATTTGCTGCTACTTATCTTAGTTTAATTTTTTTGTGACTATCAGCGTTTACATTGATATTTATCACGAAGTATTTAAAGTTTTTCACTCTTTCAAACTTATAATTATTCACTTCCAACTGTCTTATTCAACGTTTGTTGTCTCGTGATTATCATTTACTTAGTTTTACCTTTATTTACCATCAATCCAATTTGTTTTCCTTCTTATATCAATTTGCTAGTAGTTCTCTTTAGATCTTCTTCACTCTCCGCCATTATTATGATATGATCTACATATCCTGCCACAACCAGTTCTTGGTCATTTTTTATTTTGATTCCTGTTGCTCCAGTCAATGTCTCTTACAAACGATCTAGTGCTATACTGAGGGCTGGTGACAGAGCATCTCCCTGTCTTGAACCTGTCCCTACATCAAATTCTTTTAACTCTTTGCCTTCGCACTTTACTTTATATCTTGACACATGGGCCACATGCTCAAATCTTTCTTACAATATTTCCTGATATCCCCATTTGGTCTATTACCCTCCGTAATCTTTCTATATTCACTGAGTCGTATGCATCCTTGAAGACCCAAATACTCTTTTCCCTTTATAATCATAACTCATCATTGAGGTCGTTATAGGTGTATATCTTAAATTAATTCTCAAAATTGTCCATTCCATTATCTTATCTATGATCCATCGATGTACCTAATTCCTATATTACCAGATATATTATACTAACCAAAAACCATGGTTTAATTTGCCCACAATATTTTCCTTTTAACTCTGAAATATTAGAATATAAAAAATGTCTTAATTGAATCTGGCATCTTGATACAATCTTTTTACCATGACATAAATTTAAGAAAATATTTGGTGGAACATTATATGTCTGAAAAAAAAAAATATAATAAAAATAATTTTAATAACTATTATAAATGTATCTGAATTTAAATAATAATACACACATAAGATATAGTTTAATTTATTTAATTCAAAACTCAATATATGTATTGAGTTATGACCATTAGAAAATAAATTAATAAATTAAACTTCTTAAAGGTTGAAAAAAGTGTTTAAGTTAGTATAAACAAATAACTTTATATTATGATTAATTAAAACGATAAAGTTATATATATATATATGTAAACAGTGAATGATTTTGGTTTTTGCATAGATTTTAGAACTAAATGCCATGTAGATACACAATGTCACTTTTTTACGAACCTATCTATTTTTAAAATATCACTTACTATTTCTGGCTATAGGAAGAATATTCAGTATTCACATTTTATCTACAATGTAATACAATAATCTATTTATTTACCTTTCATACATTACGTTAAAAACATAACTAAATTCAACACTGAAAAAGTCCAGGGTAATAATGCTATAGCTAGTATATAGATTAGACACTAGTGTTATCAGAGGTTAGACACTCTCTATATTTAGTTAAATAAATAGTTTATCCTGAAGGGAAACAAACCTATACCATTAGATTAAAAACAATCAGCTTATCGAATGTCACTTTGTAACGTCCAAAAACGACCATATTCCGTTATCAAAGGACAAGCATACCTACAATCGATATAGTCGACCGGTGATCGGTTAATAGATTACACCCGCGTCGACGGATATGTTATGTCGTCATGAACAATAATACCCCCCGCGAAAAGGTTTATGCGATCACAATCTTTCGCAATTTACAATAATAATATATTCCTGAATACGGGTTAACGGCCAATTAGATCACGTTTCCCCTTATTGTCAAAAACGTCGGCCCATGGCGACGTGTGTAACGAACGTCTCCGCGCTCCGTTACTTAGTTTTTTTTTGTTCGTTCCTTTCCTTCTTCGTGACCAGACGTCGTATCGAGACTTTGTCACCAGACGGTCTTTTGATACAGTTCTTTTGCTTAATCACTCCCGTATTGCACGGATTCACGTATTTTTGCCATTAAGAAAGGTCATGTACCTTGGCACGTTTCCAAATGGTGCCTTAAACGAACTGATGAAGTGAATCCCGATCTGGTCCGCTGGGCGGACATCTTCGGGCGAGACGAATGGTAATATACATGAAATTTAATAATTGGCTGATACCTCGTTAGTTAAATAGTTTTTAAGTTAGTTGAGTTAAGGTTCCTCGTTTAAATATTTTGTCTACAATGTTTTTATTTCTTTTTTTCTTTTTCTCGTATGTTAAATTGGTGTATAATATAATATGTTATGTTAAATTCTTCCGATATACTTATGGGAGATCAACCAACGTCTATTAGGTTTGTGCGTCTGTCTCATTGTTATGATCCCCGCGTTCCACATCATATGTGCGATAGGCCGACCCCCCCCCCCGTTTTTTGTTATTTTTATTATTATTTTTATTTTTATTCTCTTTAAGCACTAAGTTTTACATCCACGTGTTTATGCGTATCTAAAAAATAATATATATATATAATATCGATCGATCTTCCCCACCTCGCGATCCATATTCGGATGCTCCCCGCAGGTTAACCCGTATGGCTGCCACAACCACGGACTAGTCAACTTGGAATAATAGCGTTCAGCTACCCTTCCCGGTTATAATATGTGTGACCTGGGAACTCACATTCCTGCTGGGGTCTCCCAAATATATAGTGTATCATCGAAAATTCCACATGGATGTCCATCTCAATATAAACATACACATATCGATTTGCACACACGTGGATGTAAATTCGTCATTATTAACAAGTAGTAATAAATCCCAGCTTGCACGCTCCCATTGCATCAATATTCGGTCCGGACGACAAGTTTTGGGACTGATTGATGGTTACTCCGGTTACTCTCTATATATAAATATCTGTATTTAAAATATATGTTTTTAATATATGTGTATAATTCTATGTATATATATATACACCTATGTAAAATCGTACCTATTATTCACCTTCTCTTATTTGACAGTTTTTATGTCTATGGGCTTTTCTGTCATATCAACGTAACTTTACTTTTATTCCATGATTAATGATTCAATAAAATAATTCTTTATTCTCCCCATAAAAAAAATTTGTTTATTTATTTAGATGAATATAATTTTCCCCTTTTCCCCTAACAAAAATCCTAGGTCTCTGGTCTTCGGACCTCGGTTCTTGGTTGACAACCTTGCTCCTAGGCAGGTAGTCAGCTGGGCGCTCGGGACGGTTCTTAAAATAAGGCTGACCGAACAGGGACGTCTCAACTTATGTAATAGTATGTAGTGTTAGTACTGTTAGTAGTACATAACTTATGATATTAAATTATTTCCTAACATAAAATTACTACACTCACATATAATTAAACTTATAACCAAAAATATTTACCATGTTTTTATGTAATACCGACAATTCTTTAAACATATCTCTGATTTTGTTCATCAAAGTTAAAATTTCAGATTCACTATAAATGAGAGATGCAGTTCTTTTTAATTCTTCGAAACAAAATTGATTAAACAGTTTCTGCAAACATAAACATATTTATAATAATTTCACATTACATATAAATAAATTTGATACAACTGTGTGAACAATTTTATATTAATTTAATTTAATTAATTAATTGAAAAATCAAATAGATACCTACCATAATATTGATGCATGACTTATGGATGCATGTTTGTATCTTTTTATTATCGTGACATAAATGTTTAAATCGTTGATGATATGAAGATAGTTGATTTAACATTGCACGGACAATTTCTATTTTATTAATATTGGATTTTTGGGAGTTTAAAATTTTTAGGGTTGTAAAAATAGATATTTCCTGTTAATATGTGAACCAATTAATTATTAATTCAACACAATGTAATTAATAAAAGTATGCTACCATGTTATAAATAGTTTTAGATAATAGATTCATAGCAAACATAGCGTAATATTCAATGCCTGGTAATTGTGTAACTAAAAATAGACAAGGTTTTGTATCTTCTTCGATTAGTAACTTATAATAATTTTTATCTACGTTAATTCCTTTGTATTCCGGTGTTTGTATGTGAATACTTTCTAAACAATTATTTGATAATGTAACAAAAAAACAAAATTAATTATTTGTATAATTCTTTATTAAAATATTTGGAAAATATATATATTAGTGTTTACAGTTTTTTTAATGGACTATTTCTACAGAGGAACTGTTTCGAAACATTTCTGAATATATGTTATCTCTACTGACAAATTTAGATATTCAGACATGAATCAATTATTTTTTATTAGTTTTAAATGACCCATTTAGTCAACTCATATACTCATATTACCCGGTATAGTGTAAAGTATGTAATCTGGCACCCCTTTGTGCCAGGGAATATAAGACCTCACAATTTTACGTATGCGATAAATGCAACTAAAAGACTAAGATATTTAATTACGTACGTTTGACCAGCCCCCCATTCCATCTATGGAAAACTATGTTTATTATTACTAAGTTAAAGAAATTTCCTCTAACAGCTATATAAAAATTAAAGGTTTTAACGTATAAGCTATATATTTTTATCTGTAATAAAGAAAAAAAGAAATTAAACAACAAAAATTTCTTTCTTCATGACTTCCTGTTTTCACCCCCGTCCGTATCACTACAGTTAACCATTGTTTTTTAATTTTGGTTAAATTTTGAATAAATCCTTTCTTAGCTATTGCAATGCAATATCTTGTAGTGATTTACCAAAAGATCAAATTTTTCTGAGAGAAGAGTGTAAATAATATAGTAATAATAATAATAGTTTATTGTTATCCATATCATCAAAGTAACTCATGAATAAACAGTAGTCCAGTGACGCCGAAATAATTTTTTGTATGTGTGACAATAAATATTAATTAGTGCTCATCAACCTCTACGAGGTATTAAACCTAAATTGTGGGGTCATAGCTCCTCACACCATCTACCAAATTCAAAAACTATAAAATATTATTTTCACAAATTATATTATTTACAGATTCATGATTAAATTTTCTCATTATTTAATATTTAATGTATAAATAGGTAGGTACTTTAATTTTTAATTAGCATAGAAATTCTGTACATAATTATTAGAAACCGAAACTGACAATTGACATAAACAGGAATATATTGGTTTTACAATGATGTTTATTTTTCGATTCTGAACATAACGAGAAACCTATTGATTTTACTATGATGTGTGTTTTTATATGATTATAATTATTATTTTTTTTTGTATGTGAATACTTGACAATATGTTAGGAGATCTATTATAAGTCAAACATAGTGGTGGTTAAAAAAATTGGATGAATAAATTGGATAAAATGTATTATTATTATTTTTTTTTTATAAGAGTATTAAAATCATACTTTGACGAAAATCGTAAATAATACGGCCTTTCAAAACATGTATAATCGAACTTCTTTCCAAATCGTTTCTCGTTAGTAATGGTTTATCGTTGACTACAAGTATAAATAAAATAACTTTATGTATCCCATCTTTCTAACTACCCCCACCAATAACACTCGTCCCTAGAATCAGCTTCTTTACTTATATTTATTTATTATGTGTGTTAATTTTAATTAATTTACCAAAATAATTTATATTTCTTAGTATGATTTTCGATGTCGTTTATTTATTTTTGTACTCATTAACATTTCGTGCAATGATAGATAATATAAGTAACACATAAGTAATTAATTATATTATGTAGTGATATTCGAATTAAAATTTTAAATGTTTTAATTTTTCACAAAGCTATACAAGTTAGGTTCAACGTTGTGTAGTATTTAATTTTTTTAGACGCAGTCAAATTTTCAAAATATTTATTCCATTTGCGAAGTATTCATAGATTTTTTTATTTTACGTAGTTTTCATTCGGTAGGTTACTCCGTGAATACAATTGGTAGACCAAATAGAAATACTTGAAAATTTAACAGGAAGTTCATTATAAATTGTACATAGAAGCCAACAAAAAGAATTTGAATTTAATGAAGTATTTTTTTTTAGATTCTGAGTTTAGCGAAGAATGTATTGGTTTTACAAAAATGTTTTTTTTTTAATTGAACACTTTTTCTACCAGAAAGCTCACTTCTATTATCAAGTATAGAATCTTTTCTGAAAGAAAATATTCTACTTGTGGTACTTTAGAAAGGTAATTTTGAAATTATCATTAATATTGGAGATAATTAGGAAAACCTCGGTGTTTAGGTTAAAAAAGATAAAAGATTGAAAGATTAAAAACAAGGTTATCATTGGCAGCCGTTTTTATTTATTTGTTTGTTATTATTAAGTTTTTATTATTTTAACCTTTTTTATACAATCGTTATTGTCATTGAAACGCACATTGTTGTAATTATTTTACCATAATATGATGTATAACATATATTGTATTGTTGAAAAGCAACACTATTAATTGAACTCCGCTCAGATTCGTTTTTTTCGTTATCAATGGTTTATCGTTGCTCACAGATATACATACATTTCCGTCTGTGTCCTATCTTACCAAATTCCCACCTACAACAGTGGCTGCACCTACGTGTAAAGTATGTCCGTCCTTTTTAATTATTAAATTTTTATTATTTTAATTGAATTAATATTCTTTTTTAAACAATCGTTTTTGTCATAAAAATACATATTGTTGTTAATCATTTCACCATAATATAACATATATATGTTATTGTCCATGTAGATATTGGGACATTATATACATTGTACCAGCATTTTTGAGCAATTTCTAAATTGTTCAAGAATTGTCTATAATGCCTGGGCATTATATAGAATGGCCTATCTATTTAGGCAATATGAACTTAAATATATTATTGTCATAATATTTTGTGTTTACTAAAATTACCAATATGATACTAAATTACCAATATAACTGCCTGATCGAACTATCGAGGTAATAAAGATTCAAATTCATTGGACGAAAATTCTCATATTTTTGATTCAATATCAATTATAAAAGTAATAAAGATAATGCATTAACTAAAGTTATTTTTGAATAATATATAAGTCAGTTAGGTAATATAATATTTTACTTTATTATACCAAAAAATGGAAGGAAGTAATAAAGTTTGTGCCGTTTATAAAGAACCATAGATGGCACAAGTAAATAAAATGTTCGCCTTATGAAGCCATATTTAGTATGCCAGCTAAAAAGTATAATTTTACCGGATAATATAATTTGCCGTTTAAAAAATGAAGAAGACTTAGAAAAAGCTCTTAATTATATTGCCACTACATTAAAAAGTTACATCAAAATGCCATGGTAGTAATCTATGTTATGTAAAACCTTTCTTTTTTATAAAAATGTTTAATTAATAATTATAATTTAAATTTGTATAATAATTTTGTTTTTCTAGTTTATAGTTAAAATCTTTACATAAAACACAAAATATTGCACGTGTTTATATTGCTTTCAAGATTAAGGTTTTTGTAAAGAATGCCCGGACCAAGTGTGATAATTTCTACAATGACCGGTTACATTGGTATTTTATATATTGCCCGAATATTTTATAAAACACCCGATTTTCTATACTGCTCGTAACATATATATATTGTTGACAAAGCAACATTATCAACTGAACTCCTCTCAGAATCGTTTATTCGTTAGCAATGGTTTATCGTTGCTTACAGATATTCATTAAACTCCCATCTATATCCTATCTTCCCAAATTCTCACCTACAATAGTGGCAGCTCCCACGTGCACGTATGCCCGTTCTTTTTTTTATAAGAATTTTAATATAAAATTTTGACGAAAATCTTTTCAAAATATATATAACTGAACTCTGCTCAGAACTATTTTTTGTTAGAAATAATCAATCGTTGCGTACAGATATACATTCAATTCCTTTTCTGATCCTACCTTCCTAACTTCTCACCTTTAACAGTGGCCCACCCATATGCGAAGTATGTACGTCTGTACATACATAATGTATGTCTTTTCAATATTTATATAATATGATCATTGTTTTTCGTTTGATTAGCAAAATATTTTTTATCTTCTAAATTTATACAAAATTATATTATTATTTTATTACAAAATATAACCTCGGATATAACTAAAAATAGTTAAATAATAATAAAACGGTGTGTATGTTTTCGTACTAATAATTATTTATCGTAAATATTTATCTGCTTTTACTAATTCAATCGCACAGTAATGCTACGACTGCAGCAGTCAAGGAATATGTATTAGTTATTGATTATTTGTAATATTATGTTTACTGCTCCTCATATTAATTGTAATAATACAATATTTTATATTTTCGGTGCCACCGAGTCTCATTATTAACATGTAATACATTATTCGATCGTTATTTTTGATATCTTGGGTTACATTATTTCCGTAAGGACCTCTAACTTTTTTTAAAAAGAAAATATAGCCCATGTTACTCGCTGATCATGTAGCTTTTCACAGTTTAAAGAGGTTTTAAAATCGGTTAAGTAGTTTATGAGGTTATCCATTACAAATACACCAACAAATATTTTCTCTTTATAATATTAAATATTATACATTATTCATTACAATTTTTATTTTTTAACTTTAATATTATAACTTCTGATGTATGATACACACGACTAATAGAATTTTCTATAAACATTCAACAATATGTTTTTGTTTGTAACAAAATTAAAACTTAACCTAACAATGAGAAAAAAATTGAATAAAAAGAGAGACGTGATGAGTAGGCCACTGTTGTAAGTAAAAAGTTAGGAAGGTTATCCTACATTTTAAATTAAATTTAAATCTGTACGCAACGATTAACCATTGCGAACAAAAAACGATTTAGAGCGAAATTTCTTTTAAACATGTAGGTAAACTTTCCCGTTTTCTCTACGGTTTTTTAAACTATTATGAAAACTGTTGGGAAAATCAAAAATTACCTTAAGTTGCAACTCAGATAAAATTTGCTTTCAGAAAAAGTATACACTTGAAAATCGATACAAAATTTTGGTAGAAAAGTTGTTCACAAATTAAAAATTAAATAATTAAATGTATCGCTTTTTTAATAATTTCTATAACTATTAGGTTATCTACTTTTAACTTAACTTAGTATTTTGACACATTGTGTAATTTAACACATTGTACCTATATTATTCTTAGTTTTTAATCCTTTTATGCATTTATGCTTATCTGATTGTACTTGCATAAACTCTTACCTCCAGCACAGTCTTTGGCATTTATTTACTAAGGACTTATAATACATTACAGTAGGTGGTAAGTAGGTAGGTACCCAGATTTGAACATCCATCTCTAATAAAAATTTAATTATAAGACAAATTTGAATACTTTTTTTTGCATGGGGGAAGGATATTCTCCCATGGTTAACTTATGTAATGTAAATGTATAAACTTAGCCTAAATTTAATAAACAACGAAAAACATTTTTAAATAAAATTATCATAAATAATAAAATCATAAGATTTATAACTCACCTAAATTGGTTTCATATTCCGAAGCAAAATTATATTTTTCATAATCTAATGATATTGACATTTTTTTTGATTTTATCAACTCTTTCGGAATTTGATTCACACGGAATATTAGGCCAAATATAATTATTTTAAAGTACATAAATTCCTGAAACACATGAAACAAAAATGGAATTTACTATTTACAAAACAGCTGTTCGACAATAAATAAATCCTGAATTTATTTTTAAATTCAATTATATAATTTATTCATTATACATTAGTAGTACAATACAGCATATGATCATACACATTTCAGTACATGATTTTGTGATGAAGAATAGATTAACAAGGCAACGCTAGATAGGAAGTAACCTATCATGTTCAGTTTGTGAACTCATTGTCTTGTTTTATTTTTAATAATAAATCTATTAAACAGTTTATTAAAGATTACTTTTATATTGTACATGAAATATTTATTCAAATAAATGATTAAAAAAATATTCAGAATACATATTCAAATAACAATATGTAAACTAATTTTCATTAAGAACATTATAATAATTATTAACATAAGTTACTAGATAAAATGAGTAACCCATCAGCTACAGTTCATATTGATTTAAAATGTTATATTATGTATATTTTTTTTTTTATTAATTTAAATTTAGATTAAAAGTTTAGGTCACTACACCATTTTCTCTTAAGTCTCTTTTGGGGATTACCTGATATTGAGTTTGAGTCAAGTGCTTAAATTGTGGGTAAGGGTGGTTTTCTAGACGAAAACGATAATGGTTACATATAATTGTGGACATTTCTGGAACAGTTTTGACGTTTAGGTCTGTGTGAAGTATATGGTTGGATACTTAGAAAGGGGGCCTTAGTTAACATAAGAAAGGTGATCGATTGGAATCTTTGTATCTGTTTAAATTTGACAATTTGACCGCACCCCATAGCTAGATGTCCTAAATCCAGATAGGCATGAGAAGTTACATATAAATTAGTAGTTTGATTTTAAGATTGAGTTTAGAGTAATTGTCTAGTAAATAATACAGTAATTTCCTTCTGAGGTTTAGGATGGTACGTTTCGAATAACTTAAAAAATAAATTTCAGAAAATTATTTATTTAAATATTTTAAAAATATGTTTCAACTAATTTGTATCAGTTTTAGAATAACAGTCTTAAAATTAACGTTTTATGACTCAATAAATAATTAAATAAACTGATTACTGATTAATATAACTAATCAAATATTACTTCGTTAAAAGGTCGATTTTTAAACTTATATTAAAATTAAAACTAAATACTTTGTTCATAATTCCCTATTTAACCGTAAAAATCTACAATATAAGATTTAGATAACAAATTTAAAATTATTATCGGTTTCAGAAGAAAATTATTTCATTTAGTGAATAAAAAATAAAAATATATAAAACATTCAGAAGAGGTATGAATTCAAATATTTTTTTCTTAAAAGTAATCAAAATATTAAAATACAAACAAAGTATTAACATTTTTTTTTATTTGAATATTTTTTTTTTTTAATACTTTAATAACATGGATAATATAGGTAATAATAACAAAAAATTATTGTGATACAGAATAAGTATAAATGCCACTATTTCAAAAATTATGATACGAATGCTACTTTTATTTTTAACTCTTTTACCTTGTCAGAAATTGATTCTATATGTTCAATTTGGTAACTTTTGATGTTTTCAATTTCTGGTTGTAGTAATTCCGTTTTAATAGATATTAATAATCTGCCAAAATATTTCTGGGTTTCTAATGACATGAAATGCAAGAAGGTTGGACCAAAATTCGGAAGATCGTCTAAAATGTATTAGAGGGTTACTAACAATCATTATATTGACATTTTAAAATTAATCTAGTGTTTATGCAACCTTCTCTGCTAAAATCATGTATAGATAGAGTTCTTCTAGCGATAATCTTTCCAGAAAAAGTGAATTTAATTGTTATTGTAGGACATAGCGGAGGATACAAATTTATCGTTGAATGTTCGGTATTCCAATTTATTTCTGGTCCTCTTATTTTCAACATAATATTCGACTATTTAATATAAAAATATTTAACTATAATTAATTGTACACCTACTGTATAATATTGTATAATAATTGAATACTTCAAGTGATTCACCAAAACCAATCAATAAATTATTGCTTCCATTAAATGAGTGGTGCATGATTTCACTTTTATATAAATTAAGAGAATATCTGGCCAGATGAGTTGGAGTCATTTTAAATCCACTCGGAATCAATAAATTACTGCAAACGTTTTCCATAATAATTGCACAAGTATATACTCATTATTATTATATAATTTTTACAGATACACATCTTATAAATATTCAATTTCATAACAATATATCTAATAAACGTACAAACCTTTTATCTATTTCAATGTTTGTATTAGTAGATTTTAAAGGTCTAGGTATGCTTAAATTATGAATTGATTTACTTTCATAAAAAATAATCATATCACATCTCAAATATCCTTTAATACCAAAGTCGTCTTTTTCACGATTAATCAAAGTTAACCATTTATTATGAAACAGCTTGTCTGTTAAAAAACAATTTAATAAAAGTCGTTTCAAATAAAAATACATATTGATCATTAATTTTTACTACCTAAAGATATTTAAAAACTTAATATTTTTGTTTAATGAATCTAGAGAATCAAATTTACTGTGAACAACTTTTCTTCTTTGCTCTGATTCAAAATGTTAACCCTTTTTCCAAAAGGAAATTTAACTGGGGAGGTACTATAAAGAGATTATTTTTTTAATTTTCCCAGGAGTTTTCCCAGTAAATGGAAAAAAACCGGGAGAACGGGAAAATAGGTTGGTTTAATATTAACAATAATATTATTAAAGACAATTTTTGATGCATAACTAATTATTTTACCATAATAACAAAAAAAATCCATATTAAAACAGATCCCTAGCCAATACATGTCTCATTAAATCAGAATCTAAATTATAATAGGTATATTATAAAACTTGTTGAAAAGTATTACAAATAATAATTATAAACAAAAACCAATTACTTTGTTCTGACCAAATTGTATTTATTTCTATAACAGTACTACCAAGAATAGTTTTTGACCATAATGATTGTGTTTTATGCGACTCATATACCTATAAAAATACATATCATAAACAATTTATTTTAATAAACATAAAGCAATAGATTAATAACTCACGGTAATAATTATGCGTAAATTCAATAAATCATTCAGCAATAATGTTGGAAGATCAATTATAAATGTCTAGGATATTTTTAATTATTAAAAAACATGCATAATTAAAATTCAAAAATTACAATAATATTATGTACTTACTTTAAAATACGATGGTGAAGTTGATGTTTTTCTGACTATGGTTTTACCAGTGAAATATGATGGAATTTCAACTACAACGTATGTGTCTAGATTACTTTTAGAATAATGTCTTCCCTCAATTATATTGATCATAATTTGGCTTTTAATTTTTTCTACTTGCATTTCTATTTCTCCCAGGTAATCAAGATTATCCATTACTATGATATACTTAACAACATATAAACACGTAATATTTAAAAACCATATAGAAATGTAAACAAATATAGTCAAATGCAAAATTGCTTATGTAAAATCAATAGTTTTATACTTAAAAACAATAAACGTAGATATGGTAACTGTATAATATGATTATTATTATATTATTTTATTTTCTTTCTTATATAATTTCTTATATAAATTTTATAGAATATAAAATATAAAATGTCCCAAATGTGTACTAAATAAAAGTTAAATGTTATTTCAATAGAGAAATAATATAATAACTAACATTTATTTCAAGAAGAAATACTCCGTTTTGCTCTATGTGAACACCCATGGCATGATGCAATAATTTACCTCTGTTTTATACCTAGAACAGACCGCAATTTGTACAACTATGAATTCTGAAACTCATGTATAAAGATTTATTTTGAGGCACCAAAATTAAATTTGTGTTTTTTACTTGACTGTTCTTTGTAAAATCGAAATAAACCACAATAATATAATTAGTATTTATAGCAATTATTAATTACTATATAAAAGTACAAACAAAAAAATTTGGGAAAGTAAGATACATTAGGGCTTAAGGTTATTTAATTTAAAACTGTACCTTACAGGGGCTACCATTTATTTCAGGGGGTAACCGGAAGGCGGGGGTATTGCCCCCGGGAGTAAAATGTTTACCCCCACCTGGAAACATTTAAAACTTAATACGTCAACTAATAATAAAATAAAATAAATATTAATGTCAAAAGCAGCGCCACATTCATTTAATTTAGTTTATTTTACTAATTAAATAATAACTATAATATTAATAAACCTAATAATAAATAATAATCTATAATTTAGGCAGAATAGTTATTAATAATGTTATCAAATTTCAATAGGATTTTTTTTTCAATATAAACAATTTACTAAAATTTGTTTTTTTTAAAGAATGAATCTATCTATTCATAGATATCTAAATTAAATATCTATATAATATCAATGTAAATGACCTTTAAATTTCTTTAGGTTGTATTGTCTATTACTAATGAGTCAATTCTTATGTGAACCAAACCTACAAAATGGTTTTATATGCAATTGAAATTTATTTTATACTTCTCTCCATTATTTGCTCTTATGTTATTATACTCCTTTGAAAACTTACGAATACTTACTAAAAATTCCCCCCCCCCCATCGGGATAGAAGGTCTGGAATAAACATTGGAAGCGGCTCTTATCAAAATCTCTTTAATAAGAAAATTTGGTAATTTTTATTTTGTTAATGTCAAAATAGTTTTAACTACGAGAATATATAGTACGAAATGAGCCGCTTCATAACTTCATAACTGTCTATGTAATTTGTTAGTTTTATTAATAAATTCGCCTGTCAATTAAACGAACCCATTAAATTGTTTAATTATTTGGAAATAATATTTAATGAAATGTGTAAACGTAAAAAAATACCCACGACTGCCGGTGTACTCTCAAAATATCCCATACATATACATATCTCCGATACAAATATCCCCCAGTAATATTATCCCTATTTTTTTTATATTTATACTGGTTAGGTTCTGAGTGAAACTCGATACATTGGTTTTACAATGATGAACAATGATGGTTTTATAAATCTTGCTCAAAAGTGTAACATCTTTACTGCAAGAAAATTTTCTCTAATTTGTACTTTAGAGAGATTATTTATTGATCATTGAAGTGGTATTCGAAATAAAAACAATTAAGTGTGAAAAAAGTACGATTTCATTATTTTAAATAAATACGAACGACGTTTTCTACCAGAAATATTGCTCACGTATTATAATATATTATATATTACTCCATATAATATTTTCAATAGAATATATAATTATATATAAATATAAATATGAAATAAGGGATAGTATTACTGGGGATATTAACGTAAGTTATTTGTATCGAGGATATTTTGAACGAGGGATATTTTGAGGATGAACCACGACTACCTACTTTAATGAATCGGCTAATTCTCTCGATTAATATCCCATCGCACATCACAGTCAGTGTCGAGAACCATATATGACAACCTACGCATACATCCACGATAAACTCATCTTCATGTACGTCTGATCCATCCAACACGATCTTCCTGGTGGACACAAACTCGTCTATCCGGTCGGCCTGCATTCCGTCCAACAATAAGGTGTTCTTATGGTCCAAGCGCTTCCAGGTTTCCAGGGCGACACTGTCGGCCTCTTCGACCAGTGGGCCGGTCCGTAGTAACTTACTACTTACGGAACTCAGGGACACAGGGTTTGGTGAGCATTCGGTCCAGCGCGATGAACGCTCTGGACTTAAGGCACATCACATCGGGTTCATACGTCTGAGAGTCGAAGCAGTCGTTCAGCACTAACCATAAAACAGTGCTAAACCCTCCGGCCAAGGCCGTGACGTCTTCCACCCTGTGCAGCATCGGCACCGAAGTCACAAGAATGAAGCAAAGAGATCGCAGCATAAATCATAGAAACCTTGCGGAATATGGACGGCGAATTCGTCATGTTGGTAAATTTTGAAATAATTTTTTTTTGTTATTACCTACCTGTTTACCGAACACCTACTTCCTACACACCTGGTTATAACCTCTAATGAAAATTTATAAGTGTGCGTGGGTTCTGACTCGACTGCGATCGTTTCGGATGTGCCGAGTGCTTTCGGGCCAATAAAAGTTTATATATCTACGTAAGTTTTATTATTTAATTTATTTTAAACGCCAAAATATCAATGTACAGAAAAGTACTAGACAGTAATTTACAGGTTAGAACGCAGAAATGCTATAAAATTCAACACTTTAATTGAAGTTGTACTTTTATTTTAGACATGGTATAATTTTAAAAACATTTAAGCTATTTATAGTTATAGGTATTTTAAGTTCATGAGCTAGACGACCTAACGAGCTTAAAGCTTATACAAAGTTTTTATTTAGTACGTACCAGATATATAAATATAAGTGTTTAACCAAACAGAATTGTTAATTTATGTGAAATTTAACAAGAGGTTCATTATAAGTTGTACCTCCATAGTGTTCAAAGAAAAAGTAGAGTATATGTTTATAAATGTATAATAATGTAGTAATATTTGTGTAATGTATAATGTGGTATAATATTATAGTAATTTTTGTATAATGTAAAATTTAATATAATATAGTAATCTTTGTATAATGTAGTATAATCTTTTTTTAGATTCAGAGCGTAGCGAGAGATTTATTGGTTTTACTATGATATGTGTTTATTTGTTTTTTCTGTCTGTGAACAACTTTTCTACTAGGAAACTTACTCCAAACTAAAGACTATAATATTTTTTTTTTTAAAGTTAATTTTCTCTAGTTAGTGCGATTAGAATGTCATTTTTTGATTTTCCAAGGGGTTTTAGAAATAATTGTGAAAAACCGGAAGAAAATTATAGGTAAAACGGCAAATATCATATTTATGGCACGCTACGACGAAACTGTTTTAATTGTTCTATACTTAAATTTTCTACCAGAAAAATTACTATCAGAGTAAGCTTTTTGGTAGAAAAAGTTTTCATATAAAGAATAAAAATAAACATCTTTATAAAAACAATGCAAGTACATTATTCGCTGCACTTAAAATCTAAAATATGTAATTATCAATTTCCATAAACTTTCTATGTTTTTCCCGGGTTTTCCTAAAAACTACACGGAATATAAAAAACCACTTCCTTACTCATTAACTAGGCAAAAAATTACGAATGACGGTACATCGATCTTGAATAAGTGTTACAATACGACTTTTGAAATTTCAATTTCAATATCTTACACTTGAATTTTATACTTATCTTAAAAATTTCTGTATTCCCATATAGTTACACGGACCATTCATTCTCAATGGCAGCGGAACTCGTTGCTAATTCATTTCATTCGCGTGCGACCAAATACCGTGAAAATTTTAATCGTTACCGTATTACCTATTTTGAGTTTATATGTTTTTATGTACGCACATAACTTGGGTTCACTCTGATAATTACGTTTGAAATCTGAAGTTATAATTTGGCACTGTGTTGTATATTGACCGAATACGAAATTTCATTTGCATAGATATTATTTACAAACATTGTACTTCAACAATTATACTGAAATTCTTAATTAGAAAGCAAACACTATCGTAAATTTGTAATATTAAACTATTCTTTGATAAATATTAAGAACAGGATATAGTAATTTCTAAATACTCGTATAACAATACAATTTAACACACGTTTGGTATTTTAGAAATGTCGTTTTTCGATTATGTTTAAAATTACCTTGTGTAATAATATTTCGGATTCATAATAGAACTTATTAACTATTTTGGGGTTAACACTTTTTTTAATTTTTTACAATTCAATATTCACAATACAATAAATCACGTGATTTTGAAAATAATCCAAATTGTTAATTTGAGATATTTTCAAAATTAAGTAGTCATAAGTTTTTCGGGTGGGACGGATCTAACTCAATATATTTGTCAGTATTTTTTTCAATTTTCCCCAATGTTGTAATTAATGTTAAAACTAAAATATTTTGGTATAATGTTATGAATAAACCTTTAAAAAAATATATTTTCGCTATCATAGAAATGTTATCATAATACGAGACATATTCGAAAAGTAATGGCCATTTGCTCTTATTTCAACATTGGCATGTTGGAACTCGTTGAAATCATGCAGCATTATCTATTGACTGTTTACCAAGCTATTGTAGTTGTTTTTATATTCAATAGTCGTTTGCCGGTCCGTGCATGTAAACAACAATGGTCACTATAATCGTTTCTCCTGCCAATTGTGATGTGAGAACTGTGATAAGATTTGTGAAGGATCTTTGCGATGAACAAATATGAATGACGAAGAGTGGAGTGACAGGCCTAGTAAGCAAACCAATGAAATTTTTTTTTAAGTGGGCCAAAAACTACGATCTGATCATCGATTGACTATTATAGTGTTCTGGCTAATGAATTACCTCATCTTGGACGCACCATTGTTTACATCAGTGTTTCTAAACCTCGCGACCCTTTTGAGGGTCACCAACCAATTATTTAAAGTCATCAATAATATGAAATATTGGGTCATCATGTATAAAATATATATTTAAGGGTCGCTCAAAAATTAAATATTAATTTAGGGGGTCATGATAGGAAATAGGATGAGAAACATTGGTTAATACAATTTTCACACCGTTTTCAACTGGTTCAACTCTCAGATGGAGAGTTTTATGCAGGGAGGTTAAAGAAGCTGGTGCAACAGTACGAAAAATAAAGTGAATTAAAAAAAATTAGAAATGAACGGTAATTATGTGAAGATGTAAAGTAAGTTTGTAAGAAATTAAACGTGCAAATAAAATCTATTTCTTTTGATTATATTTTTTTTATCACCAAACGACCCTTATTAATTTTTGAATATGCCTCGTATTATCATCTTTGGATAATGTTACCAAAATAATATTAGTTGTTAATATTAACGTTGTAATTATATACCATTGTTTAATTGATGTTGTGTTACGTAATGCAATTTCCTTCTTTTTTTTGCTCCAATTTACAACGATAGCACTTTTTCTGAAAGGAAATCTGATTAAGGTGGTCGTTTTTTGATTTTCCTTGCTGTTTTCATAAAAAATGAGAAAAACTAAAAAAAATGTAGTGAAAACGGGAAAATAGGTACAATATTAAAAAAGGACGGACATAGTTCGAACGTGAGTGCAGCTAGGGGTGGATTTAGGGAGCTGCTTGGAGTGCTGAATCACCCACTGTGAAGCACCCCCCGTTCCGGGTATTATTAATTATTATTGAAAATTAAGTATAATTTTTGATACGGCCTCCCCGTGGTTCAAGTTCAGAATTAGTATTAAAAGCAGAAATAAATCTTTGGAAAGCGAAATGGAATAAAATAGAACCAGATGTTCCTCAACTGCTGTTACATCACTCCCATATTGTGAAGAATTTTTTCAAAATATCAAAATCCTCTTACAATTATTGGGTACGCTCCCAATATCAACAGCAACTACTAAAAGGTTATTCTCTAACTTAAGAATATTAAAAAATTACTTGCATGCAATAATAACCACGTCTAGGCTGAACGGCTTAGCTCTATTATAAATGTTCATACAGACAAACATGTATATAAGTAATAACTTAGTTATAAATAAATTTGATAGGAAAACAAAAGGAAAATGCATTTAGAGGACTGGTCAATTTAAATTATAAACTATTCAAATTTTAAAATGCACACATTGTATTATGTATATTAAAAATTAAATGATTATTTAATCTTTTGATACAATTATGTATCTTAATTAATAATCATATGTTGAACTGTTTATGTAATACATCCAAAACAAATGCACATTGCAAGACTGATTTTCCTAGCCATTTAAGCTTTTAATTATTCATTTTTTTTTTCTATAATAACATAACTAAATACATAACAAGCACCCACCATAAAAAAATCCTAGATCCACCCCTGGGTGCAGCCACTGTTGTAGGTGGAAAGTTGGGAAGGTAGGATACAGATGGGAATTTTATGTATATCTGTACGCAACAATTAACCATTGCTTACGAAAAAACGATTCTGATGGATGTTCAACTGATAGTGTTGAATAATATATATGTCATATTATGGTAAAATGATTACACTGTGCGTTTCCATGACAACGATGATTGTTTTAAAATAGATTAAAATAATAAAAAAAAGTTAATAAAAACGGTTGTCAATGACAACCTAATTTCAGGGTACCAATGTTTCATGGCGATCGGATGAACGGTTTAAGAAGGCGGATAAGAGACATACAAACATTCAATTTGTTTATATAAAGATAAGTAAACCGTTCAATGGTTCAGATGGTGTTTCAATTTCAGGTAGTTGCATTTTTCCTGACGCGCAACACATCCCAGCTGGCTCATTTTTGAATTTCAGAGCATGACAATGCGGACATTCCTTGTCCATAGCACCAATTAACACTTTTGAATGAGCATAATATTCAATATCGGGCTCATACTGGAATGCTAGACGCAGGAATGAATCAGATGTAAATGCTCGACGTACCTGTTGTCCTTGTTGGTCATTTGTTCTGCGTCTATTGACTGTGAAACGGCGTGATTGTCGTTGTTCTAANTGACACGTGCATCAGTATTTTGTTGCTGGATTTGTTCTTCGGTTCTTTCGGATCTTCTACTTCGCAAGCTTCGAGATTTACTTATATTACGGTTCAAATCAGCCCCTTTGGGTTTTATTGGCATTAAAATATGTGCAAAACACACGTACATAGGTTAGGTTAGGTTAGCAAAATTAGCCAAATCGGCCCAGCCGTTCTCAATTGTTATTGGCACGCGGGTGCCACGAAAACCAATAATAAAAAATAACCACATAGAGTGTATATTATCTCTCCATGGCAAAATAATAATTGTTGAATATCGTGCGTGCTAGTATACTTTGACTTAAGAGGCCATAACTCCGGAACCTCTTATCGCAGAGCATACAAACTGAGATAGTAGCCGATTCTCAGACCTACTGAATATGCATATAAAATTTCATGAGAATCGATCAAGCCGTCTCGGAGGAGTATGGGAACGAACATTGTGACACGATAATTTTATATATAAGATAAATTGTTGGAAGAGCAACACTATTAACCGAACTTATCGTTTTTCATTAGTAATGGTTAATCGTTGTGTACAGATATACATTAAATTTCCCTTTTACCTTCCCAACTTCTCACCTACAACAGTGGTCCACTCACATGCGAGTATGTCCGTCTTTTTTACTAATTTGATTACGAAAATGTTTTTGTTTCCGTTTAATAAAGGTTCCATTTTACAGATACCGATTTATTTACTGCCTATTCGAACCAGGACTATTGGCTTTATTTGTTAAAAAGAGAATTCCATCTTATAGACAACAGAGAGGTTTTGCTGTATTTAAATTAGACGACGGAAATATTGTATCGGTAAATATCACGTGAGAGTTAAACACATTTTATCGGAAAACAACACCCACCCGTATAATATACTAGGATACGACGCGTATAGGATATACAAATGAGTATAGAAATTTTGTTCTGTGCACACGTTGTACAAAGTTTTATGTATTAGTGTGTGTGTGTATGTGATCTAATCTGATAAATTTCTATTGTATACTTTATTGTTTTTATTTATTTTATCACGTCGTATTTTGTCATTTTTGTCTTTCATAATTTGTTTGTTGTTATGTTGTTATAGTAAAATTAAACGATGCTAGGAATAATATTTAATAGTAAAGGAAAGTACATATCGAAGGAGTTAAGTTAACCTGAGTATTCTCGGAGAAAAGAATATGATCAAATTATCAATTATTGTTAGACATTAAATACGCTTATATCTTGGAAATAGTTTGATCTCCATCCATAGCCGGCGTTTACAAAAATCACATATAATCACATATAAAAAATACTTTCTTAAGTATTAATTAGATAAAATATATTTTTTAAAAGAAATTACTCTTGAACAGTGGCGGCTCGTGTATATGGGCACAAGTGCACGTGCACTACCTACCCAAACTCAAGAAAAATTAAAAACATAAATCATAATAATACAACTAACTACTAAGTACCTGTAGTATTATTAAGATTATTTTTCAAAATATAAAAATATAAATTCAAAATATTATGAAAATAATATAATATTTGGTTTGCGTTATTTCGATTGCCAAACAGCCGGACTGTTGTCCGCGACGAAACAATATCGGTGTGTATTATAGTGGTGGAGTTGTGCACACAATCGTTGTGCACATTTGTACAGTGAAAAATTAAAACAAGTCGAAACACGCAACCCGCGTTATAATGGAATTGGTGTGCACATTTGTTTCTGTGCACAAAACCAATTAAATTGTTATCAGCGAATTATTTTCGACGTCGCCGTGTCGTTGCGCGTCGGCATCCGCATTATAGTTTATTTTTACTCTCATTAATTTATTATATTCCGATTATCAGCTGATAATATTGGCTAGTCAATCATTATCGGAAATTCAAAACAACAATCGTGTTTCTGTTTTCTATCGACGACCGACATTACGTTTATTATTATTCGTGTATTTGTTTTCAATTTTTAAAATGAATTCAGTACAGAAAATACTGCAATGCAATTTTTCAACAATCTCGTTGGAGAAAAAGATGGAAATAAAAAATAAAGGTAGGCCTACTCCAGACTTAAATATTAAACAAATTACTAAATGTAAAACGAGAGAATATGTAAGAAAATTTAATAATAATATATATAAAACCTATGACTGGATTTGTGGTTGTTCAGAAACTAATCGTTTGTATTGTTTTCCCTGTTTACTTTTTGGTCAAAAATCTAATGATGTCGCTTGGGTAAAGAATGGAATAAACGATTTAATTCATTTAACTTCTAAAATCAAAACACGAAAAATCAATGACACACATAAATTCTCAATTAAATCTAAAACTATTAGGAAAACAAGACATAAGACAACAACTTTCTAGTGCGTATCGGTTAAATATCAAACAATACAATGAAAAAATAAGTCATAATCGTTATATATTGAATAAAATAATAAATTGTATTAAATTTTGTGGAGCATTTGAACTTGCACTCAGAGGTCACGATGAAAAATCAAATTCAGAAAATCCCGGCGTATTTCGAGGTCTTATAAACTTTAGTTCAGAGTTAGATTCGGTACTAAAATGTCATATTGAGAACTCTTCGGTATTTAAAGGTTTATCCAAATCAATCCAAAATGATTTACTAGAATGTTGTTTAGCTGTATGTCAACAAAGAATTAAAAATGAAATAAAACAAGCAGAATATATTTCTGTAATGGCTGATGAAACAACTGACGTATCTGCTCAGTTTCAATTGTCAATAATATTTAGATATTTACTATCGGATGGAACACCAGTAGAAAGGTTTTGGGGATTTTTCAATCCTACTGGACATGATGCGAAATCGTTGTCTGAATGTATAATATTCAACTTGGAAAAAGTCCTAGAATCGCCAGATATGTTGATTTGTCAGAGTTACGACGGCGCAAATGTGATGAGTGGACGTCTCAATGGTGTACAAAAAATAATAAATAATAGTTATAAAAATGCACATTTCATACATTGCTATGCTCATCAGCTTAATTTAATTTTAATTCAAGCAACTTCACAAAATCGTGAGATAAGGATATTTTTTTCAAACTTAACTGATATAACAAATTTTTTTTCAAACAGTCCACAGCGGGTTACGGTTTTAGATAAAATTGTTAAATACAGAGTTCCTCGATCATCTAATACTAGATGGAATTTTAAAAGTCGAATAGTAAATACTGTGTATGAGAATCTTGAGCCGTTAATTGAATGTATGAAAGAAATTTAATCAACATTTAATCAAACCATAGCAATTAATCAAGCTGGACCTTTGAATCGGATGTTAAATGATGATAAATTTACTTTTGGTTAAGATTGTTTCATTCTTTAATGCCTCATGTTGATATTTTATATAATCAACTACAAAAACAAACTATGGATCCTGTAGAACTTTCAAAGGCAATTTTTCGGTTCGAAGAAAATATATTAAAAGAAAGACAGAATATTGATAACATCGTTGAAACCTCTCAAAATCACCCAACAAAAAAACGAAGACAAGATGATACTATTGAAACAAGAAAAATCGCTACAAAAGAAGTATGTGATATTTTTATTGTCAACGTTAAAGAACGTTTTGATTATAAAAATCACTTAAATGCTTCGCACCTATTTTTTTCCACCAAATTTCCTATGTACGAAAATAACTTCCCAAATGACCATTTTAGTAAAACATTAAAACGTATTAAAACATTTTTGAGAAATTCAATGACGGAAGATTGACTTACAGCACTAGCAATGTTATCGATCGAAAAACGGATGATCAACAATATTTCAAACTTCAGCGAAGAAGTAATAAACAGGTTTGCAGAAAAAAAAGATAGAATAATCGATTTAAAATATAAACATGTACCTGAAATATAATAATTTAATACAAATAATTATAACATTTTTACTTGTAAATGTATTATGTATTACCTATGTATTATTATTTGTATTAATATTATTTATTTTTATTATTATTATGTATTTACTATTGTTATTGCGGGTAAAAATATAAACAAAATAAAAGGTAATTGGTAAATAACTAAAGTTTGTAAACAATTATTTAATACAANTTTTTTTTTTTTTTGGGTGTGCACTACTTCATTAAAAACCAGAGCCACGAGCCGCCACTGCTCTTGAAATATTGAACAACTTGTTAGTGAAAAAAAAAACGAAAAAAAATAAAATTATGAAATCTTTTATTCTGTACTTTTGTCCTTTGTTCTTTAACAGAGGAACCTATTGGTTTTATTATGATCTGTAATTTTTTTTTTTTCGTTTTTTTTTTTTTTATGTGTGTGTCTGTGAACTTTTACTCCAGAAATCTTGCTCTAATTGATGATCAAATGCAGCGCCATTTCTGAAAGGAAATTGTATCTAGTCGTAATGGAAATTTAATTTTTTTATTTTCCAAGGAGTTTTCATAATAATTTTAAAAAACCGGAAACATAATTATCGGACAAATGGCAAATATTTACGACGTTATCGATTTCATTGTTTCATAATTTCATAATTTTTTCAAACATGATTGTCTACTAAATGTATTGCTATAATAGAAAAACGACAAGAGACCTTTTTTTTTCTTGTTGCATTTTTAATCTAGTTGGTGAATAAGAAAATAATTTTTATATTTTCTCTATAATTGATTTAATAATTGAACGAAACCGAAAAAAACATATAAATAACGGGGAAATTTACAAAAACTATGCTTTTGATACCTATTATCATATCTATTGTAATATAATAAAGATTAAGAAATGGATAGTTATGCGAACTTAACCTCACATTTTTTTAGATTCGGAGCGTAGCGATACCTGGGTTTAAGGCTGTGTGGACCCCAAGACTCATATCAATAAAAGACCCATGTAAATAGAGATATATATATTAAAATAGTTAAATCGTTATATCAAATTTATTATATTTAGATTATATTACAATTTGTTATAACATAATGTTGAATGTATATGCACTGTCCTTAAATAATATTTTGTATTGATACTCTTTGAGATTTCGTTGCTGCGAATTAATCAACCGTTTGAAAAAAAATCAAATGATCTAAGTATATCATTTTCAATACTCAAAAGATCAATACCTGATAGTTGAATGTGCCATCAAAGTTCATAAACTATTTTTTATGAATTTCTCTTTTGAAAATGATCGATCCCCACCACAGTTTGACACCATCAAGACTAAATACATACGTGACATAATTTCTATAATAAGAAAAGTATACTATAAATTATTTTCCTCAATAACTCTGTATAAAAACATTTCGCAATGCACATTATGTATAGGCGTTTCTCTATACATTCTGTCAAATTGACTGAATCAGGGCCTAAAATAGTGTGTATTGATTATTTTAGAGTTATATTAACATCTGTGTGTTTCTTCTATTTGTTAGCAAAAAAAGAAGATTCATCAATTTTTAACGTACTCCAGTGATGTGATGAGCAACATGCAGTGACTTCGATGGAACACTTTGTGACGATGGTTGCGACGAAAGACAGAGCTCTTACTCAGAAATTTAAATATTTTTTTTACTCTTATAGGTTCGCGTTCTGTGAGCTAAACCATATTCAGCATTTCAGCAGATGTTGAAAGATTAATCTCGTAGTATAACTCAATAAAAACTTTAACCGGGTATTAATTACCCGGTTAATTAAATACCTTCATTAATAACAGATTTTCTCTATGTCAAAATAAACATGTAGACATTAGATGAGTTTAATCTTCAATCAGTTTAATTGGTTGAACGATAAAAAAACATCCCAAAGTGTATATACATATCGAAAAACGAGAGTAGTAAAGGGTTTTTGTTGAAACCTAAGAAAAATATATTTATCAATAGGTGTATAGGTATATAATTGAATTTGGAAAAATAAATTTTTGAATATTATTTTATGTTATACTTTAATATTATTGTTTTATCCAGTAATTTTTCAAATACAGAAATTTATCTTCAATTTATAATGATAGCAGTGTTTAAAGGGAAATCCGACTAAGGGGGTACTTAAGAAAACCGGGAAAATCGGTTCAATATTAAACAAATATTATTAAAGAAAATATGTAAAGCCTATTTAATTATTTGACTATAATATTGTTGACAAAACATCACTATCAACTGAACTTGACTCAGAATCGTTTTTTCGTAAGCAATGGTTCATCATTGCTTACATATATACATTAAATTACCTATAACAGTGGCTGCAGCCGTCCCCATTATCCTAGGACGTCTTTTTACGCTTTATGTTTCCTACCGAACATATTAATTTTATAAAAAAAACCACACAAAAGACATTTTTTATTAAATTTTTAATCTAGTTGGTAAGTAAGTAATTCCTTTTTTTTGTTTTTCAATGTTTCCATAACAATAATGGCAAAACCATGAAACGACGAAAATTGCAAAATAAACAAATTTACGGCATACGGTTTCATTATTTTAAATGTGTACGTTAAATTTGTATGTTTCCCACCAGAAACATTACTCCAATAAAACAACAATAAGAAATCTTTTTCGTTGGTTATTTAATTTAGTGACAATAAGGAAGTTTTAATTTTCCATGTAGTTTTTTTTGACAATTAAGCAAAACCGCGAAAAAAAAAACGGAAAAATTAACGAAAATAATGCTTTTATTATTTTCAATTTTGTTGTTGTAATTCAATTTAAATTGAATTTAACTTGAAATTTCGAAAATGAATTATTTATATTACCTTTTCTAGACATGATAAAATTTTAAAAACATTTGAGCGATTTTTGACATATTTATAGGCATTTTAATTTGTCGAATTTTGTAGATATACTTATTCGACCAAACAGAAATGCTTGAAAATATAACATGAATTTATTGTTGTAAAATTCGAATATTTTACAACAATAAATACACGTTCTGAACACTTTTAAAATATATTTTACCCAAGACCGCAAAATATTTGTTAGGCGTGTAATATAGTAAGTTATAATGATAATCAACGCTGTTTTGTCATTCACTGTATTTCGGTATTTAACAAGTAATATTTAACACGATCCAAATGGAATATAATAATTATATTAATAAATATAATTATATATATAATAATTATATACATAAATATTGTATACAATTTTATTATAAATTAATAAATAAATAAATAAACAAATAAATAGCAGCGATCACCGATCAGCTCATAAGACAGAATGGTACGCCGTCGCCGCCGTGTTGTGGTCGTCGATTTGCATGATGCGGTCGAAATACTCGGGCGCGGGTTTTCCGGAATGATTGTTCTGGTAGTCTTGGAGGATTTTGCCCAGTGTTAGTATGGCGTACAGCCCAATCGCGAATTTGCTGGCCATCAGGGCCGTAATGGCAGTCAAGGCGATGGATTTCACTATCACCGATCCAGCGGCAGAGAAAATCAACATGCCGGCTAAGGCCAGAGCTTTTCGGAAAATTTCGAGCTTCTTTTTACGACTGCGACCTGCGAAACAAATTGACCGCGATTTATAATCTTTATTATTATTATTATTATTATTACCCCCTTGTATTCAGTGGCGAGTAGGTAGCGGTTGCGACGTTATTGCGTTTTTATAACAAAAGACTACCGCGAAGACGATCCGAACGGATCGATTCTACTGCAGTTTAATGTCTCTTCAGCGACGGTTTTACAAACACATATTACACAGAGTGAGCATAATATATCGATAAAAAAAATGTACGTACAATTACACCGCTTCGCGAGGATCGTCGAGCGTTTTCCCGATATTATTTTCGGTTTTTAATTTCAATAATCTTTTCGAGTACCTACTTATAGGTAATATTTCCTTTGAGGAAACTTTTATTTGTTTATAGGCCACTAGAAGTAATTATCGGAATGAAAATAAAATAATACCGTGTGGTCCATTTAAAAGCACTCGTTATCTCGTGAATTTTCAATTTCAGAAACAAGCAGCTCTGTTAAATGTTACATTATACTATTATTTTTTTGTGACTCTTATTTTTTTTAAGTGAAAAGACTAGCTACTTAATGGAGTAATTCGAATAATGTATTTTAAGCATACAACATTCTTAATACAGGTTGCCTTTTGAATGTTAAATCCGGTCCTATTAGGGTCCCAGAATCGATAGTTTCACAACCTTTCTTTTGTTCGGGATTCTACTAAAATGGCCGAGGAAAAAATGACCGGAAGTAAAAAATATAATTATAATTTATAAATATAAATATAATAAATTAAATACAATTCGAATACGCGTAATAACAATATTAATAGGTATAATTATCGTTTTAATTTTGAAGTAATAACAATGACAATGATAAAATTCAAACATAATTTTGATGCATTTTTATTAGATTTGATTAACTCATGAGTAGTCATCGTTGTAAAATTGAAAAATAAGAAACTTTAATGTTGATACGTATATGTTAGGTATGTTACGCTGGTATGTTACAGCTCGACAAAACAGACCATAACTGACTAGATAATCAATGTAAAGTAATAAACCTTATTATTATTAATCAATATTTATTGCTGATACAGAATCGCAATAGACATTTGTACACAATATGAAAATAAAATTATATAAACAGTACAACTCTTCATAATTTCGGATCTAATCAAAAGTAATTCCCATAGAAATTATATATATATTAGTGTAAACGTTAAAGTAAAACCCGTTCCTGTCGACTTTGATTGGTTCTTGTTATCTAGCTATACCTACAGTGTACAAGCCGGACAGTTTTAACTCCGGACTTTTTTTTTCTTCGGATATTTTTACCTACAGCCTCCATTCAATAGCTAAACCTAGAACTCAAACTCTAAGATCAATTCGTATTGATTTGTTACTCTAATAATAATATTACTCACTGTCATTCTCATTTTATACATTTTATATTCTATAGCAATTTATTGTATGCAATCATATTATAATTCTCCAATCTATTACATGTATTCATAAACCAAACGCTAAATAAATTTGAAAATTAAAAGTAGATATACAGTAATCGTTTCACATCCCAAAAAAATAATGGCAATTTAAAATTTTAGAGCCGCTTATATTTTTAATCGTCAAAACAAAAAAAAACAATAAATTCTTCGCTACACTTGGAATCCAAAAATGTGCGAATAAAGTTAATACTTTCCGAGATGTAGAGAGTGTACCCACTTGAACGATTCGCCCATTAATAACAGCTGTTCGATATTTAATTAAAAAAGTGAATATTTTCAGAAAAAAAAAACCTAGTCACCCCTAGTGACTGCCTTTGATTCTAATCGTTGTGAACAAACTCATTGCATTTGAATAATAATATACGGGGCGCGTATTGAGTTATTCTAAGGGTTTTATAAGAACGAAAAAGCCTCTCGATAAGTCTCGGTTCACCGCAAATAGCAATGAGCAAACTATTATCGTCGTACCACGCCGCCGCCGTATAAAGACCGGGCACCGCGGGCTCACCTTCTTGTTCGGCCGACTCGTTCATCAGCACGGCGGTCCTGGTGGACACGAACTCTTCGACGCGGTCAGCGAGCAGGCCGTCCAGCAGAGCGTTCTTGTGGCGCGGATCCGCGGCGCTGGCCTGCAGAGCGACGCGATCGGCCGGCAGCGGGTTGACCACAGACTTGCCGTCGCGGGCTGTCAGCGACACGCCGTCCAGCACCGACCACAACGCGGCGCCGAACCCTTCGGCGGTGGCGGCATCGTCCGACCGCGGCTGGTGCTGTTGCGTGGCCGGAACGGACGACGGCGACGACGAGGAGATACCGACGCAGGCCGAGGCGACGGCGCAAAGGAGCGAAACTCGGTGGAACGACGCGAACAGTAGCGAGCACGTCATTTTTTTTTCTACTGGATTTTCAACGCTTATATTTTAATCTAAACAACGGTGTAGTAGGTATTATTATTATGCTACAACGGCAGTGCAGTACTGTGCCCGCGGTCGGGAGCTGAAAACCGGTGCGCGCACGACGGCAGTAGATTCGAATGTACTAAATTCGTATCGACGGTCAAGAGCTTATATTATACCGCGCGCGCGGTCTGTAGCCAAAGCACCGTGAAAACTAATGACGTAGGGTACCCGACGGCTGACGTATTTCGCATACATCGGCTTTTTTATTTCTTTCTTTAATTACACTGGAACGCCGGACCAGTGTTTGAAGAAAACGCGTGCAGGCATCGCCTACTCGTAGACACGAACGGGAATAATTGACATTATTTACCTAGAGTGGAGTGATGCCGCGGTGCATTTCGCTATTTAATGTTCAAACAAAAGCGGATCACGGACAATTACAATTAACGCTGTTGCATTATTACGCGATTATTGTTATTAATTATTTAGTACGCAAATTATTATCGTTAGTCATCTATAAGTTGCTGCGTATAATATACCGGGTGTCTCGCGCGAAAATGTGCCCGTTATTGTAATATCCCCGGGGATAATAAACATAAAAGGAATTGTGTTTGTATTTTCTTTACGTAGAATGTTACGTTAATCTGTTTCGTGTTTCGGTATAAAAACTAAAAAAAAAAAAAAAAATTTTATTTCATTATTTTCGACAAACTTGAAGACTGGCCGTTTTACAGAAAGTTTATTCTTCCAAAAACGTTAACGTATCGACATTTTATTTTCATTAAATTCTCGATTTTCGATATTTGTTTTAAAGTTCCGAGAACAAATGTGTACGTACAATATGCAAGCACAGCCGATTCGCAATGGGTGCATTATCTTCGTGAGATGCCCTGTATGTCCGTGCCGCCGAACAACGTAGAAATTTAATGAGTGCCAATTTTTTATTATCATTATATTTTTTATTCATTTTCGCTAATTTTAATGCGTGCACAGCGTTTCGTGTATTTTGATTACATTATACGCCGTGTATGAATAATATATTAAATGGCCTCGCCCGGGTTTTTAAATGAAACATTAATACATATTAAACGCAATTTTCGGTGAAGAAATTGTTGCGTTGGGTAGTCACGACCGAGCGCTCTGCAGCCCCAACGACGGAGTCGGAAACGGCATGGGCACATATTTTGACGACCGTCGTTTTCGCAACGGTCGAAAAATTCCGTCTGAAAATATTTTTACTGTTGCACATTATGAACGTTAAGTTTTTACACATAAACGCGGAAATCAGAAAGCATTAATCCATTACGCGTCCGCGAGTATCCGTGTGGTAACGCAAATCTTTTTTCGCAAAACGCATTACCATAATTTCAGATGTTGAAACGTCAAACGTCTCGTTGTTCGGTTATAAAAATCAAAAATTATTTTTTAACGTTTTTCGTTTAAAAATGAATTTTCACCATAGTTTTAATAAAAAAAAACAAAATTTGAACTAAAAAAGTAAATAAACTTTGGACTAAATAAGTTAACGTGTACAATATAGGACATAGAAATAACAATACCAATACGTAGAAACCATCACGGTAATAAATTGCAAAGAAGCGGAGATGAAGGGGAAACCTACAGGGGAAAGAGATATTTCTTTTTAACTCTAAAGAGTGGTCGAATCCCGTTGGTTTTTATTATTATTGTCATTATTTTTTTTTATTTTTTATTTTCTTGTAAACAGAAAGACTTATTTAGCTGGGATTATTATGCACTACGTTTCCGGTCGGATTCAATATTTATTTATTTGCATTAAAGCGGCTATACACGACGAATGTGATACGCCGCGTTTTTATCCGCAAACGCTGAAATAATTAAAAATGCCCGATTTCACATTGTTTTTTTATTTAGTATGAGTCACGTGACGGGAAACGTCGCGTTTACACCGTGATTTCGTGAAAACACATTAGCTATGTAAATGTTATGTTCTATTATTATCAACAATTAAAAATTTATTTTTCGTCATTATAGTGTAACGCAAAAAAAAAAAATAAATAGATTATAGATTACGAGCGAAGAGATGAACGTATTGATTTTACAATAATCATAACTAGGGACCGAATTTATATGCACGAAAAATCCTCAAATATGCTTCTAAAAATGCGGTAATATGCTATAAAATATGTACTTAATTATGCACTTAAATTTTTGTTTAAAATTATGTAAAAATATGTAAAATGTATGTGTATGTAAATGTATTATGTAAAATTATGTAAAAATAAGTATTAATTAATACGGTATTAAAAAAAGTATAAAAAAGTTTTGAAAGTATTTTGTCGTCTTCGTCTTCAAAAATTGAATTCATATTTTTCCTTATTGCATTGGATGATCAGAAGTTCCTTAATGTGTTCAAACGTTAAAATCCTCCGATTATCTGTAAGTACATTTTTATACATTGAAAAACTTCGCTCGACCTCAGCAATATTTATGGGAGCGTACTTCATACATGCAATATCACTTGCATTTAAATCTTCAGGTAGTTCATTGTTGCCGTCTATTTCTCCTTCCAAAATCTTAGAAATTTTCTTCATTATTTTATATCCAGGTTTTTTTTTAGTACGGTTGTAAATTTGGCATTTATAAAACCACCATTTTTTTTTTTTTTTTTTTTTAATGTGGTCTTTGGGATTTAATTTTGATCATGGCTTCTGATAACAAGTAATATTTTGATTTTAACATTTTTATCGTGCTCGGAATTATTTCAAAATTTGATTTAATGTAACTTAAATTAGTTTTCAAATTAGGATTTTTTATCAAATTTTGTGATTTTTTTAATTGAAATAGTCTTCACTGTTCAATTGAAGAACTATTTCTTTAATAATTTCCAAGTTGTCACAATAATAGAAAGCTGCGTTTAACCATTTACCCCAACGCGTTAATATAGGTTGTGGTGGAATTGCGAGATTAGGGGCCATATTTCGGAAAAGTATCGTACGCGATGGAGCTTTTTTTATCGATATTATGTGGTTACAGCCACGTGGAAATACGACGAAAAACGAATATATGTGCCAAAAAACGTTGAAATATGTAAAATATGCAAAATAAAATGAGTGTTATTTTAATAAGAATGATCTATATCGGGACAATGCTCATCAGATTTTAAAAAGCTCATTTCAATACATATATGCATTTTCATATAAATCCGGCCCCTAATATAAAAGTTTTATATTAGTTTAAAAGGTTTAAAAGAAACTTAAATGTTGGCAATGGTATACAAACATTTTTAAGTGCCTAAACCGTAAAAGACAAAAGTTATCTACACTAAGTAGTAAGAACTGATTTTTTTTTTTTATTTTTATCTGAAATAAAGTCTAAATTTATCAGCATCTGACAATCAACAGTTCACAAATAGGTAAGCTTATATCGTTTACATGCATACTTTCAGTCATAAAAAATATGAAAAAATATGAAATTATTAAACATATTTCAGCATTCAGACATGTGCATTAGTATAAAAGTTTTATTATAGTTTAGCTACAAACTGCATAACTATAAATAGTTAACTTGATAATATAATATTAATATGCCGATGATTAAGTTTAAAACATAGACATTGGAGTATAATGGACTGAAATATTATGATAGTTCATTGGTACCTTTTTTTTAGATTCTAAGTGGACCGAAAAAGCTTATGGTTTTACAAAGTTGTTAATTTTTTTTTCTTTTGTGCGCAACTTTTCTACCAGAAATCTTGCTCCGATTTTTAAGTGTAGCGCTTTTTCTGAAAGGAAATCGGTGTGGAAAGGTACTTAAGGGAGATCTTGTTTTTATTTTAGCAAATGTGAACCACCTCAATAAAACATGGGAAAACCGTGAAAAACGTAGGAAAAACGGGAAAATTAATAGATTAAACAAATATTATTAAAGAAAACATATAATGCCTATTTAATTATTTTACCGTAACATGACATATGTATTGTTGACAAAGCATCACTATCAACTGAACTCCGCTGAAAATCGGTCTTTTTGTTAGCAATGGTTTATCGTTGCTTACAGATATACATTAAATTACCTATAACAGTGGCTGCATCTGACCCTATTATCCTAGGACGTCTTTTTTTTATTTTATTACTATTATTTTATAGTATACATTGTGTTGATATACAGTAAATCCATCCTCCGTTTTCTTAATTTCTCACCTACAAGAGTGGCCTACCCATCATGTGAAGTATGTCCGTTTGTTTTTTTGTTTAAACTAACGATAAATGCGAACAATGACAATAATATTTATTGTAGCGAAACAAGACAAGGCTTATGTTATGCTGTTATTAAGTAACACAATTAAAATAATAAATAATACTTAAAACTTTAAGTATACAAACATACACCTGACTCACAAAGTACTAAATAATATGCACGCAGGAGTGCGTGGGGAGACCTGGGATGATTCGTCTTTTGGATCACTGTTGAAAAATATTTTTATTAAACACACAATAAGTACTGTAATATGTATTTGACTTAAAAAACATTCCCACCCAGACTTATACAGAATTTGAATTAGATCATTATAAGATATGAGTAGAAGCTGTCGATCAATTAGTTAACAAAATGGAAGGATTGAAACAGGTAAATTGTAATAATTTGCATAGATATACGCAGGCAAATAATTTAAGATTAAAAATAATTTAACATTTTTCGCATAAAAAAGAATCACATGAAAAAATAATTTTTTGTCATACGATTTTACACCAATAGATTGGTTTTCTTTGGCATAATGTTTCTTCTGCGATGTTCTAAAATTACGCTTTAGTGTACCGATGTGACGATAAAATAATAATACTATTGGCTGTACCTATTTAACAATATTATTAAACGAGTTCTAGTCGGTTATTTTCTACGGAGTAAAAATTAGGCAACATGTGCGACAAGTACATCCGGTCATGTGAGTGCGTGCCCATGTAAATGAACATTAATGTGGGTGCGTTACACCCCGAAGAGCATAGCATAGCATCGCATCGCACCACACTACGCCGTATCGGTCAGCATTTGAAACTATTTTACTGTTTGAAATTTTATCGGTACCATTTTCACATATCCAGGCACTCTATTTTACAGTGTTTTTGGATTATTGATAACTCACCTAGTTAGTTTAGATTTTATTTTCGTTTATACTATTTTATAATACTTTCTCACAAAGCCGGATTATATATTAATAATATTTTAATTGATTTATGTCTCACTCCTCGTGGTCCGATCATCGAAAAATTGTGCGTTTGCTAATATTTTCGAAAACACTCCGAGAATAAATAATTGTCATTTTTCATCACCGTTCTCTATAAGAAGTGGAAAAATGTTTTTAATCACATATATCATGTATGTATAAAGTGTGTCCCATTAGAAAAATCCGTCGAACACGGATTTTTCTAGCACTGTTAATGTTAAATTGTTATCAATTTTTTCGTCAACAAGTTTGTCTTCGAGGGGGATATCGATTTGGAGAAAAATTAAATTAATATTTTCATCCCTTGATTTCTAGAAAATAGGCGTGAAAAAAATTAATGTTCAATATAATACAAAGAATTATCGTGCTGTTTGTAATTACTTATCAAATAACGTGTTATTTTATTGATATTAATTGTTATCACGCCTAATTAAAACGACTATAACTAAGAAATTATTCATCGAATATGAATGTGTGATACACTCACACATTCAATAATATTATAGTATTGAATAATATTTTTTACAAAATGGCTGTTTTGAAAATTTTCCCAAGTGGATAAACAAAAAATTAATTGTCTTTTGTCTTTAAGGAATGATAATAAAAATTTAATTTTTCTCTAAATCGACGTTTCACTGGTCTCAATGGTTTATCGTTGCTTACAGATCAACATTAAATTACGTACAGCAGTGGCTACACTAGTCCCCATTACCCTAGCACGTCTTTTTTACAATCAATTAACATTATCTTTGTAAGTTACAGCAGAATGATCACAGGGTCATTTGCTGCACTTCAAAGACTTAAGACATCTCTCAGTTTACAAACTAGTTGGTGAAAACAGCCGTTTTTATAAATAATGGGTGAATCATAGCACAGACCCCCATGACATTTCCAAAACCTGGCGCCTCTATGCATTCATGTATCTAGAGTCAAACTACGATGAATATTAAAAATGTCTATCGTGGTAAAATAAAATTTTATTATGGTAACCTGTGTGTGAACGCAAGGTAATATCGGCCAAGAGAGCACGAATCATGAAACTACAATGAAATCCAATTTTATTTAGGTCGCGTGGGCACAGCGGTGATATCGCCTCAAGACGCGCCGACCGTCGTGTGAATTGTATTTTTATATCCGTGTTATCATGTTTTGTCTGCTAAGAATTACGGGCATCCATCCGACACCGGCTTAGAAAACTTTCAGTAGGTCGCCGACCACCCCAATTTGTTGATGACTCAAACATTTGTATTTACAGTGGACCGTTACATACACTCTATATTGGTGGTATATTTTTTATCGATATAGATTTTGGTTTTTTTAACCGATATTTTCCATGATGAACGTCTAAAACTATAATGTCTCTGGGATATGGAAATAACGTTAAAAAAAAAATCAGGTTGTAGGTTAATGGTAAAATCAAATCATGGTTTTCAGTTTCAATTATCGGGTATAGGGTTTATCCTTATAATATATATAAATATATATATTATTATCACATCACTGTCAACTGTTTTTCACATTTACTTTTATTTTTAAAGGATCGAGTACCTAGTTCGGGAACAATTACTATTCTATAAGTCGTAATAATTTCTTTGCTTCCCCCCCCCCCGTTCCGAGCACAATGTAATGTAGGATTTGTACGAAAATAACGGTTAAAATATTGATAAAAATAAATATATTAATTTTCGTAAAATATTTCAACACGGGCAATTAGACATGGCATTTGAACGCCATTACTTTGGCGATATGTTTTATATAAATAATTAATAAATTAATAGTTAACGGCCGACAGAATCCGTCACTTTTGATGCGAGTACTGCGAGTACGCCATGTCGTGCGCGTTCAGTTCGACGTTTTGTTCGCCACCGCCGCCACTGCCACCGTTGCCGCCACCGCCGCCGCTGTAATAATGCGGTATCGCCTCGATCGTGGTGTGGGTGGTCTTTTTCGGTTGCGGTTGGAAAAGTTTCTTGAGCGCCAAAATACCGGACACGACCAGAGCGATTTTGCTGACCAACAAGGCTTTGCCGGCCAACATTGCGACGAAACTGAAAGCCATCGGCCCCAGCACTGCCACGGCCGTCATTCCGGCCATCATGATGGCTTGTTGCATTGACTTCTGTTGCTTTTTCTTGCTACGACCTATGGACAAATATATAATACAATAATAATAAAACACCGAACGTTGAAAATCTAAACATTTTTTTTTTAAGTACTTAAATCGGACATCAGCGATATATAATAACACAATTGAGTGCCCTAGATGTAAAAAAAAAATAAAAATACCCAAACGTGTTGTGCACAGATTTGAATGTATACGATGATGAATTTCACTACAACGAAAGAAAAAGTGCTCCAAAACAGTGTTTTCAAACGTTCTTTTATTCTACGCCCGCGCCCCTTTTTAGATTTTCAAAAATTACACGCTTCCCTCTATTAATTAAAAATATGAGATAAACCGTTTTTAATTTTAGATATGGTAAACTTGCACATTTTGTATTTTATTCTCACAGTTTCACCATCACTATATTATCCCTCACGCAGTACCTAAATTCCTTTTTAGTGAGGAATTTCCCACCCTATCCCCCTCGTGGGCCTTAAATTATTATGCGGTCAGTATGTAACAGCCAACTAACCTTCTTCTCCGGCCAATTCGTCCAGCACGATAGACCGGGTGGACACGAAATCGTTCAGCCGGCCGACGAGCAGGTCGTCCAGCAGTGCGTTCTTGTGGTCCGGATCCTTGGCGGCGTCCAGGGCGGCGCGGTCCGCCTTCTCGGCCTGCAACAGATCTACGGGCAGGGACTTTCCGGCGCGCGTGGCCAGCGAAACGCCTTCGGCCACGGTCACGGTGGGTCTGGCCAGCGCCCGGTCCAGCGCGGTCAGCGCCCTGGACTTGAGACACACGGCCGTGGGTTCGGTCGAGTCCGGGCCCAGGCAGCCGTCCAGCACCGACCACAAGACCGTGCCGAGACCGCCGGCGGACTGCTGCTGTTCCGCGGACGACGCGGACGCCTGCGATATGACGGCGGCCAAGGCGACGGCCGCGCAAACGCACGAGACTCTCCGGACAACGGCTGCAGTGGAACACATCGTGATAATACTATTGTGTTGTCCGGCGGTATTTCTGCGGGCCGCGAAACGGTGCGCAATAGGTGCGTTACGGTTATCAGGAGTCTACGCACACACGGGAGGTGAATATGTGCGAACTCGACCGGGATGTGTTCGGCTGTGATGGTTCCCGTCCGGCGACCGTCAGCTTATATACCGCGTGCGCGTCACGCGACCGAAGCACCGTGGAAATCACGTAGCCGTTGCCGATGCACGCGTTATACTTATTATACTCGTATACGGTGTGTTAATGATACAATTAATTGGACCGTATAGGTGTAGGAGCCGTGCCCGTAATCGTGTCCATTTTCGGCAACAATAAGATTCGAGTTTCACGAGAAATTCGTATTCGTACGGGTATAGAGTTCATTTTTTTTTTTTTTATCACGATTCGACGATTTTCTCGGAGGGCTTTCATAGGGTCAATTCTATTTCTTTTATTTTTTTGAAACTCTAAGTGTAGCGTGAAATGAATGAGTGATTTTACAACGCGATGTGACCTAAATCCGGATTTAAGACAACAAAATCCGGATTGAAGACTTCAAAATACGAGAATTGGTTTCGAAATTGTTTAATTACGTTTAGTAGTGTTGGAATCGTATGATAAATGCCTAAAATAGTTCAAGATAGAAGTTTCAAAAAGTTAAAAAAAAAAGATAAAGTTTACAGAAATACTGGTTTTATTATTTTCAATTTTTTTTTTTTTGCCTGTGTGTTACTCAGTTTAAAATATTAGTAGACACTTGAAAATTTGATAGAAAACGTATATTTTTCTTTTCTAAATTTTAAAATAATATAGCTGCTGACAGAGAAATTCGTATTTTGATATTATCTAAAGTATTTTTCATAATAATTGGGAAAAACCCAAAATTTAAAATTTATTTATTTAGTTTAAGTTTAGTTAAGTTTAATTAGTTTAATTTTTGCAACTTATGGTTTTTACCAGAAATATTGCTTTAATCGAAAAATGACAAGGGATTTATTTTGTTTCTTTTACTTTACAGCCACATTTAAGGAAATTCGTTTTTGGTATTTAAAGTATTTTTCATAATAATTGGGAAAAACCAAAAAAGACGAAAATTACGGCGCAACGATTTTATTTTAAATTTGTACAGCTTATATTAAACATTGCTTCGATAGAAAAACGACAAGAAACGTTTGTTGTCGAATTTTTAATCTAGTTTATGTGTGATTATTTATTTTTTAGTTAATTTTATATCGTTAATATATAAAGTACGTGAGTACAAAGTAGTAATTTATACGTTTGTATTTCGTTAATATGTTCAGTCATCACGACTCTGGGACTCTATAGGACTGTAAACGTTATCTATCTACAAAATTATATCACTGTTTGTTTGTCAACTTTTTGTCAAAATAAGAGACTATTACAATACTTTAAAATGATACAAAACTCCAAAAACGTTTTTTTTTTTTTTTTAAATGCAAAATACACCACCGGTTATCGAACCTTGAAACTAACCTGATCTAATAACCTTATATTATGTATGTTTATAATACTGCTTTAAGAAAATAAGCTCAAATTTGGGAATTGAGGATTGTTTTGGAGGCCAATTGAAGTGATAATAGTTAAGTTGGAATTCAATATGAAATTAACCATGATATTGCGGATAGATGATGTTCTATTAGTTTTGTACACTCTTACGAAACTCCCAGGGATAGTTTTGGTCGTTTTGGTTGTTACAAATTTCACCCCCCCCCCCTTAGATCAAATTTCAGTCTTCAGTTATTTATTGTTTTGTAAATATCTCTATTATACAAAATACATCTTTCTACTCTTGTAAGAACACTGGTACTTACGTTTTTTTTTTATTTGAAGCATATTAAGGTTGAATCTTGACGGAAATCGTAAAAATTACGACATTTAAAAATATGTATAACAGAACTTCACGCCGAATCGCTTTTCGTTAGCAATGATTTATCGTTTTTGGCGGATATGAATTAAGTAACTTTATGTATCTTACCTTCCCGACCATCCACCTACAACAGTGGTGCACCCATCCGCAGTATTAGCTCTTTTTCTTTTTTGTTACTTGACCGTTTTAGTCGTCTATACACAAAGGGTACAATTATATACGTTTTACATTATTTTTGATATACTAAAAAATAATTTTGCTATTTAACTATTAAAATTGCATAATTGTTTTCAATTTTCATTCGATTTGCTACGTAGAAACATTATTGTTTAGTCTAATTATATTATATCAATATAATGATATTAATCATACATCTATATGTATCTAAATTAAATTAATAATATTAGACCACAGGGTGACCAATGATTAGGACGGTTTGATCACTAGAGCGGGAAAATAATTTTATGTTAGCAGACAAAATATCTAACATGATTCTAACATGAGATCATACCAGTTAACATAGCCGAATATGTTAAAATAAAAAATAAAAAATAAACGTTTCGGAATGTGTAGTCACTGACCGACTCTTTCCTCTATACGTGTACCAACGAAATCCGGGTATAATGGTGTAAATTTACGGTCTATAGCTCACGCGAATACTTTCAGCTATAAAAATAATTATTTTAATTTACATTTTCTAAATGTGATAATCTCGTACAACTAAATATGTTCGATTAATTCATAAAATAAATACTACACGCCTAAGAAAAATTCTGAAGTTTTTCTAACTATACAAACCAGGGGGTCAATTATAGCGGATATGTTTGACAGAGGAGAAACATCGAGCCAATCAAAACGATATTATTAACTATATTAGGCGAGAAAAAAGCCAGAAGAAAAAAGATCCGATACTGATGATGGATGCGCCACTGTTCTAGGTGGGAAGTTTGAAAGATGGGGTACTTAAAGTTATTTAAAAAATTTGACCTCTATAGCTAATGACCACTTTAATAATTATATTCTAAAATACAAATTGCATTTTAATATATTTCTTTTTCTCTTTGACTAGAGCCAGATTTTAGATAGATAATATAATTCGAATAATTTAAAAAACAAATTAAATCATATAAACATGTAAACATTTGTCTATTTTTCCTTTAAGCCTGTAAACTTCTTTATTGGGTATCGATTCGATAATCTTGGCATCACTTGCTAAATCCGATTTTCAAGTGTTCTAGAGCGGTTACAAAATGTTTTTTTAGGATAACAAATTGTTACATGATGTATTACATAATACCGTTCGGTTTTGAAGTCAAAGTTTTAATATAGTGGTACCAGGGTAAAACACGTTTTACCGTTAATTTTTTTTTCCGGGTTTTGAAAATTATTTTGAATACTCCTGGTAAAATCAAAAAATGACCTCTTAAATGCACCAACTAAGTCTAAAATACAACAAAAAAGTCGTCTTGTTATTTTTTGATTGGAGCAAAATTTCTGGTAGAAAAGTTGTTACAGACATTATTACAAAACCAGTAAATCTCTCGCTACATTGAGAATCTAAAAGTGGCTAACAAAAAAATATTTTTATGGTTTTACATCTATCTGCAGTTAACACGATTTTCGACCAGATTAGTGGTTCCGATCAAGAAACATAGATGCAAGTTTCTGGTAGAATTTTGCATTCAGTAATTCCTAATAAGTAGATACATATATTATAGAGGGCAAAACGACAACAAATAAATGAAAAATTGAACATGTTATTATATTTGGAAATATGTAATCGGAATTTTAAATTCGGAGCGTACCGAAGGATCCATTGATTTCACCATGATGAGTATTTTTGTCTGTCTGTAAACAACTTTTCTAATAAAATTGTTGATCCAATCTAAAATGATATTAGACCCTTTTTTGTTTTATTTTTAATTGAATTAATGAGTATTTAATTTGTTTTTTGATTTTCTGGCAGTTTTTGTAATAATTTAGAAAAATTGGAAAATCGCGAAAAATTAAAACTCGTAAATTTAAATTTACGACACTTATTTATTTTAAATTTTTACGGTTTGTGTTTTATTTTCAACCAAAACTATTGATTAAATCGAAAAAAGACAGGTGACTTTTTTGTTGCATTTTTAACCTGATGCTGATTAAAATATTGGGTTTTTAACCTTGGCTTGATTAAGATTTTTTTTTTTTTATTTTTCGTGAAATTTTCTGAATAATTGAGCAAAATCCATAAAAAACCGCAAAAAGATGTAAGAGTTTCATTATTTTCAATATTGATTCTTTTTGTTAAAATTTAGTTTAAAATATTCGTAGAGACCGGTAGGTTTTTACACAAAATACTAGAATATTATGACAAAAAAATTAATATTTGTCTTTTCTATTAATGTTACAATTTTCAAAATAGTCTGAAAATATGTTTGAACAAATTATAGACATTTCCTGTTTACAAGATTTCTATAAGTATTTTTATTTATAAGTTACTGTTAGATACTCTGTGGTAAAATGTTTAAACTAAATTCTGAGTTTAGCGAAAAATGTATTAGTTTTACTAAGATTTTTTATTTTATCCTGTGTACAAAATTGTACCAGAAATCTTGCTCAAGTATTTAAGCGTGACACTATTTCTGAAAGAAAATGTTGTCCAGATCGTTCTTTTGGGAGGTAAATTTTTGATTATCCATGCGGTTTTCATAATATCTAGGAAAAACCAGGATAAAACGTAAGAAAAATGGGAAATTCAAGAAAATAATGCTTTTATTATTTTCCAATGTTGTTAATAATGTAATTCAGTTAAAAATATCCATAGACAATTGAAATTTAGACAAAAAATTTATATTTGTCTTTTCTAAAGGAGCAAATATTTTCAAAGAGTTCAAGTCGTTTTTGAGCTATTTTTAGACATTTTAATTTTACTAGTTTTGTACGTAATTTTTATTCGGTAGATACTCTATGATGAAAATTGTTAGACTTGACAGAAATTCTTGAAAATTTAACAGGAGGTTCATTAAAAGTCATACTTTGTAGTTTTTTTACAAAAAAAAAAATTGAGTTTAACGTAGTATTTTTTTTATAAAGGAATATCAATATGAAATTTTGATGAAAATCTTTTGAGTAAAAAATTATGTGGAACAAATCTAATTTTTCAATTTTTGTTTTTTGAACATAGTTTATATATCGCCGATTTAAAAATGATGGTGAAATTAGAATTGAGTGATTGACTAAGTTTTGAAATTATTACTTGTTGAGGTTTTAATAAAATGCGGATATTTTATTATA